AGGCCTTTGACAAGTATTTTCGCCCGGGTGTAAACGTAATCCACCAACGGACATTGTTTGAAAGGTGTGTCCAGAACCCAGGTGAATCCGTGGAAGAGTATGTGCGTCGTCTCCGTGCCGCAGCCAAATATTGCGCGTTTGACAAGTCAGATGAGCGTATCCGCGACAGGTTGGTGGCCCATATGACGAACCGAGAAGTTTCGAAGAAGCTACAGCTCGAGGATCACGCTCAGCTGACACTCGAGACTGCCGTGAGCTTGGCACGCAAAACGGAGTCCGTAAACGCCGAGGTCGCCCAGCAAACGCCCCGGGTGAGCCAAGCTGCTGCAGCTACCTCACCGCAACGGAAACACGGCAAGTCCCCTGCTTACGCAAGTTACGGATCGACGGGAAAGCGACCACAGGTCAAGTCCCAACGAGACTCGAGCAACAGTAAGAAGTGCTCGTGGTGTGGCTCCTCCAAAGACCACAAATCGAACCGTGACGAATGCCCTGCCAAGGACAAGTCTTGTAACAAGTGCCGTAAGTCTGGACACTTCGCCAGCGTCTGCCGGTCTGCCTCCGCCAGTGCAGCACACAACGATTATGTGCATGTAGCTGAGTTTGACTTGCAGTCGGACCCCGTCGGCGAAAATTTCCTTGGAGCTGCTTCTACCCACACCGCTGACGAGCCGTGGATAGTACGACTGGATCTGTGCGGCTCACACCTCGATTTCAAAATCGACACTGGAGCTGATCTCAACATTATGACGCAGGCCAGCTACAACGCTTTATCTGCACCGCCAGTACTCAGTCCGTGCCAGACACGTATGATTGGGCCTGATGGGAACCAGCTCACGATACAGGGTGAGTTCCATACTTGTGCTGTGTTCCGTGATGTACAGTACCCAGTCACTATCCTGGTCATTGCCACTGGTGGTGTCAACTTGCTGAGCAGGCAGACATCTGAACTGATGGGCCTAGTACAACGTCTTCATGTTGGCTCTTCAGATGCCCAGCCGAAAATCGGATGCATGCTAGGCAAGCCAGTCGAGATTGAGTTGAAGCCAGACTGCAAACCATACAACTGTGTAAATGCTCGACGCATTCCAATACACATCCGCCTCAAGGTTCGTACCGAGCTGGAGCGTATGGAAAAAGCAGGTGTCATCACAAAAGTCGAGCAGCCGACCGACTGGTGTTCACCCCTCGTGTCGGTCCTCAAGCCGAACGGCAACGTGCGTGTATGCGTAGACCTCAAGCGCCTGAATGCCAGCGTCAAGAGAGAGCACTACCCGTTACCGACCGTGGACGACACGCTCGCACAACTCAACGGTTCTACCATATTCTCTACGCTGGACACCACGTCTGGCTTCTGGCAGATCCCACTCTCCGAGGAAGCGTCGTTGCTGACGACGTTTATCACTCCCTATGGCCACCTCCCATGTACAGCGGAATCCCTCGCTCCAAGTTGGCCTGATATTTCCAAGCTAAGGAAGTTCGAGGTGAGGCAGAAAGACCGACAGAGTGAGACGTACGACTCGTCACACCGAGCACAATCTCTGCCACCATTGACCCAAGGCGACCGAGTCTGGGTGCAAGATCTCGCTTCCGAAGCCGTGATTGCAGACCGCGTCTCCGACAGATCCTATATTGTCACGACCGACAACCTGTCCGAGTACCGCCGCAACCGTCGCCACGTCAAGTTGCTACCTGATGTGCAACCAACACCAACACCGCAGTTGAATGTCACTACACCTGCAGAACCTCCATCCGCTGATGTCGAGTTCCAGCCTACCTTGCGCCGATCAGCACGTCCATCCCGGCCGCTGAACAGACTCGACCTGTAAACGCATTAGTCATTGCTCATGCTATGATCACTCCAGTCGCTGACGCTGATGATCGTGAACTGCATGTAGTATTTGTGTGTCTCTACCCTATCTCCTCTGTATGTATATGACTAAATATTCTTCGAGCTGTTACCTCTGTAACCTCTCTCTCTTCGAACATAAAAAGGGAGATGTTGTGGTCCCGTTGTTGTACCCGATCCGTTCCGGGATCGGTTACCCATATGCATTCCCGTACTGTGTACATATATGGATCCTGGTTGTGCATCTTTATCTTTCGTTGTTCTATGTAAATAAACTTTAGTTGTTGTCTGGGACTTGTGGAGTGAAGTTGATCTATGGAGTGCGGGAACTAACTTGATGTTCACTCAGGAACATTACAGACGCCATAGCTGACAATTTCTTGTTAGCCTCATCAACGCTGACCGTCAAACACTCTGCCGACGCAAACGGTATACGTTTGTCGCTGGTGCTAGACTTGGCAGGCTTCAGCTTGCTACGTCCGTGGGCTGTTTGGTAAGCCATACCATCCTCCGCAAACGCCTTCAAGTCCTTCGTGTAACATCTCTTCTCGATCAAGAAGGCCTTAGTTTCTGCCGACACAGCTTCTAGCAGGACTTGACGTACGACACATCCGAACAATTCAGTGTCGTCCAGCTCACCGATTTGTCCGCGGCTAGAGGTACGGCTAGGCCTGGCGAGTTTTGCCCACTTCTCCGTCTCGCGCGTCACTCGTACCACAAACTGGTAGAAACTCTCATCACTTTTCTGCTGTATGGCCATCAGGGCTTGCCACGCTTTGTCGGCGGTCTTCCCATGCGCCATCAGCAGCTCGCGCTTCGCTTCGGCAAAGGTGTTGCAGCCATAGCATGCACCTTCCAACTTGCTGCCAGCAACAGCCACGCGCAAACGGATCAGGTACTCGTCGTCGCTGAACTCATTTTGCTTTGCCACATCCTCGAACAGTTCGAGATAGGTCTCAACAGTCTGCTTACCGTCGAACTTCGGCATCTTGATGGCAGCCCTCTTGCTCGCTAAACTGCCATTCGTCGTATTCAACAAAGTGCTCTCATCACTCTGAGTCTCTCGTGTGTGCTGGACTTGCAACTCCAAATCTGCAATCCTCGCAAGCAGCTGCTCGTCATCTTTCCTTTCCAATCTACTTCCTGCTCGTTCGTCGCGCTCTCTTTCTGCACGCACTTTCTCCTCGTGCTTCTCGATACGCTCCTCTACGTAAGTACGCAATGCCTCTCCAGTGTAGCCATAAGCTTGACCATTTGCGATCAGCTTCGCTTCTACCTCATCCATGTTCACGCGTCTCGATCCTGGCGTGGTCGCCAAAATGTTGTGTTCACTACTAACACCTCAAAAGTTTCAGGATCGCACAGACGCCACAAGACAAAAGGTCACGTAATTCTTTACGGACTATAATGAATGAACAGTAGAATACATTGAGAAGAAGAGACTGGAAAAATACGAACTACATCGGAAAGAGAACTCTAGAACACTAAAGAAAACAAACCACAGCATCAAGGAAAAGAACAACGCATGAGGGGTAAAACGCTGGCCAGCCACAACGTGCGTCCAACTTTGGCATGAGCGTACAGAAGAGCGTACAGCGCTCGGAAAGCGGAAGCTAAATTTGGCGGCAAAGCGACAGCAATAGTACGGCGCGCGGCACATAAGCAGTACGAGGCGAGGCACGTATACGCGTGTGCGGCAAACATTACACACCATGTACCATATATGCATGAACAGCGCGGGGCGCATACTAACTCATTCAACATCAGTGCGCGGCGCAGGCATCTAGCTAGCTGGCGCAAGCATGATCATAATTGCATGCCATCACGCAATCAGCGCACATAAATCGCGCATCAAATAAATAAGTAATCAAACACAAATCAACACATCAACTAAATAAATCAACGAGCTAGCAAGAACACAATTCAAAAATGCAACGAAGAAATAATTACTATTCTAGTCGGTTATTCGCATGGGACCAAGCGCAATGTCCAAGCTGATGAACTGTGATTGCACAAGGTAAGCCCAAGCTCCTGAGCTAACCGTTCTGGTGAGCAGTCTTCTTCGTGCTGCAAACACACACTACACAATGTGTCGTATCTCGTAACAAGTACTGTACCAAATCACAACGAACACTAACAATACGCAATAGTAAACAATAATCAAAAACACTACGCAAAAAAGCAAAGCAAGCAGCACCTAGCCAGGGAGACAAGCAGGAGTCACGGTCGCAACGAGATCTCGACGACACCCCAGAAGACCTTTCTCCGACACGATACACAACAAACGTGAAGCAACTTGGAAGAATGGGTATGAATGCGAAGTGCATGGGGGAATGCATGTAGGGCGATAGTGCGGGTTCGAATCCCAGGATATGCCTGAAAAAAATAGGAGAATTGAAAAATTTATAACATCCTATGCTTTTTTTGCCGTCAGATACGGATAGCGCCAGGCGTGACACAAACAAACAAACAAACACACACACAAATACCAAATTAAAGCTGTGTGGACCCTGGCTAGCGCCAGACGTTACTGAAGTAACGTCTTCTGCATAGCTACGGGAATAATACCATCACTTGGTTCCTTTTCAATCCCTCAAACAGATGAATAATCTCATACTTAGTCACTGCAACACATTTCAATGTCATTACAACGGATATCTTCACGCAATAATAGGCTTACCATTCTGGATTATGTACTTTCAAGTATAAACAAGGCCGGTGGAGGCAGCTCAAAGCAGAGTGCTCAATGCACAAATGTACAGAGCAGTATGAACATACAACGGAGGTGAAAGGCTATGTAGCTGTCACTTCAAGTTTCACGCATTTTAGCAAGCATAGGACAGCAGTATTTGGTGTTCGCGGGTGTTTGTGTTCTTCCAAGTATATGTACACACATATATACTTGGAAGTACATAATCCAGAAAGCTAAGCCTATTATTGGGTGCAAGGTACTATTTTGAAGCCGGTATTTTAAGCCCCTTTTTGAGAGCTTCTTTATTCACAATTGCTTTCTGAGAGGAGAAAGTCCTTGCTGATCAGAAGTGTCGTACAGGCCCATGTGTTGTTGTCAAGTTGTCCCAAAATGCACTAGAGCACTTCTTGCTGATGATAAGGTACACTTACACACACCGTGCAGCTCACATACTAGTACCTTCTTTCATCTTCAATCGTCAGGACATCTGCTGGACGGGTAGAGTCGCCGTATCCCTCCTGGGTCAACGACTTCATTTTCGCCTCCAGAGCCGCAACTGTCCGCGGGAAGTCTCTGCACGGCTGCTTGAAGTCGACAAAGCACACAAGCGCACAGTCAGCTCTACTGGATCTAAGCTCTCTCTGAATGGAGCACATTACTTGGTAAAGCGTGTTTGCCGGATAAGGAGCACCGTCCCGTCGCCGAGCTTCATTGATAAATTTTGGCAGGTGATAGTCGAGTTCAGCTTTTGTCGCTTGATACAGGGAGGGAATCTTGCGGTCCTGATTCTCTGCGGCTGCGCGCCAGGTTTCAAATCCGTTCACGCCCCACCGGGTGTTTCTGACTGTATTCTTGCTTTCCGCTGCTACCTGGGTGATCATGACGCGATCTTCTTGCAGAGTCGACCTGTTAAAGCGCACATCCCGCTCTTGGGCAAGGGTCGGCTCGGGATCTTTAAGGCCATCAGGATCTAAGAGATCTAACAGTGCATCAATCTCTTCCGAACTGGCTAGATTGGCTGCTGCTCCAGCGCCATGTGCCGCGTTCGCAAGATCACCTTCATCCAACACTCGGACTCCTTTGGGCTCGCTATTGGCCATGTCTACCGCTCAACCATCTTCCAAAGGCACGCTGCTCAACACACACACAGAACCAAGAGAAGAAGATGATGTGTGTTGCTACTCTGAAACGGATAATGTAACTCAATGTTAGAACACATCGCACAGAAGCCAATGGTGAATCCGATGAGGCCTTTTCAAGTGCACCCGATGATCTAGAACTCTTCATAATCGGTAAATTCGACTAAATTGGTGACATGAGCAGCAGCACAAATCCTTATAATTTTGTTATCCAGCTTTCTCATTAGAATGAAGTTGAAGACACCAATGCAGCTGTACTTATGGTTGATAAATATGGTGGTAAACACACACCTGCCAATATGGCGGTAAATGCACGCCTGCCCACACGCTCTCTAGGCTGCAAAGATGAGAAGGAGAGCTCTCTGCCAGAATAGCTTTGCAGTCTAGAGAGCGCATGTGGGCAGGTGTGTGCTTACCCGCACCATATTTATGAACCAGCTTTCTCAGTAGACGGCAAGAGCAGTGACACAATGGCCCACACAATGCCCCGGGTGCCTAACACAAAGTGAAAGCAGCAATGCACAGCATAACAACAATGGGAGAACTACAGTGTTAGGTACTACGATGTCAAAACACAACTTTTGCAAATCTTCTGTACACACCGTTAAAGGGGAGGTATACCCTAAACCAACACATATGGCCGATTGGTTTGCAGGCCTGCCTGCGAATCATGAGGTCCCGAGTTCAAGACCCGCACTGGTAGCAGGGAGCGTGTAAAAAGACGTTTTACGCTCGTTGAACTGCGCCGACACCCACGGTCAACTGGGTACTCACAGCTCGGAGTGAGAATAACAAGGATGCAGTTTACAGGGTTATGGGCCGTTACACGCCCGATTGGTTGAGAGACTAACCTCCTCTCCCCTGACTCACTTGTGAGAATTAATTCTTTGTTCTTTGTTCGTGCTGTGGTCTGCAAGCGTCGTGTGGTCTCGTTGGGTCAAATGAAAAACCTATTATCACTTGTGAGGTCTGCATTCGCCACTAAGGTGAACAGGCATAGTCGTGGCCTGCGGATGCGAATGCTAGTTTGTGTGTTTCTGAACATTCAAGCAATGCCGACGCGGATCCCGCGAATATTATTATACCCTAAAATCAAATTTTAACCAGTTGTAGTCTTCGGGGTGCTGAGTCAAATGGTCTTGGTCCGAGGAAGCTGAGACGCTCCATTCCTCCTTTATTCCCAATCGAACTCGCCACTTCCACCGAAACTGGGTGACTGCGCCCTACTAGATGGGGATTTGTATGCAAAATGTCGCTAAAAGCGCCATTTCGTTCTTATAAAAGCACAGATGACCGCGATTGGCCCATATGTTGTGGTCTTTTGGACGCCGAGTCGACTGGTTTTGGTCCGAAAAGGCTGCGATGCAGCGTTTGGCCCTGATTCCCACTCGAACACGGTTGCGTAAGCGGTCACGTGCTCATGTGTACACCAGTCACCTGGTCACCGTGCCCGCAGGCTACCACCTACAGCCTGTTTGGGCGCTTTCCTGTCACTCGAGTTGAACCTTTGAACCTTTGAGTTGAACCTTGGTTTGAAAGTTGTAGCCTGCAGGCACGGCGACCAGGCGACTGACTGGTGTACGCATGAGCACGTGACCGCTTACTCAACCGTGTTAGATTGGGAATAAGGGCTTTAGCAATATATATCGCCTCGCGCACAGTCAGGTAAGATTTTGTTGTACCCTTGTGTTCTATATATTGAGGTTCAGTTCAGGTTGCATTGTGTATTATTTTCATTACATTACAAAAGCAGGTACTGTACGGTAGGTTCAACAGAGAAAATTGTTTGTGATGCCCAGCAGAATCTCAAGTCAAACTGAAGGAATCACATGGAAACGAGCTATGAAGCAACTACCTATCCACGACTGTAACACTATAATAAGCAGTCAGAAAGTGCGATACCAGGGCACAAAACTGACATGTTACTGAGACATTCAACGACCTGAGATCTAGCTATCACACACCTCCAGTGTGCAAACCAACAGCCTTCCAGGGTCTAATAATACGAGTCCCCTGGATATCCACAATCAACCCGAAAAGGTTAGTTGTGGACCATACTTGAATCTGAAAGACCCACTTCACACTGTCTTCAAAAATTACAGGACGGGGTCTTGTATTCGCGGAAATACTGCAGCCACACTTGCAATGACAATTGCAAATACGTTGTTCCGTTAAAGGGGAAGTCAAGGCAAAAATCAAAATTTCACCAGTTGTAGTCTTCGGGGTGCTGAGTCGAATGGTCTTGGTCCGAGAAAGCTGAGACGCTCCCTTCCTACTTGAATCCCAATCGAACTCGCGCACTTCCACCGAAACTGGGTGACTGCGCCCTACTAGATGGGGATTTGTATGCAAAATGTCACTAAAAGCGCCATTTCGTTCTTATAAAAGCACGGATGACCGCGATTGGCCCATATGTTGTAGTCTTTTGGACGCTGAGTCGACTGGTTTTGGTCCGAAAAGGCTGCGATGCAGCGTTCCTCCTTTATTCCCAATCGAACATGGTTGAACAAGCGGTCACGTGCTCCTGGGTGCCCAAATCATCTGGTCACCACGCCAGCAGGCGACAACTTTCACACCAAGGTTCAACTCGAGTTCAACTCGAGTGACAGGAGTGCACCCAAAAAAGGTCAAACAGGCTAGTAAGTTGTACCCTGCAGGCACGGTGACCAGGTGACTGGTGTACGCAGGAGCACGTGACCGCCTGTTCAACCATGTTCGATTGGGAATAAAGGAGGAACGCTGCATCGCAGCCTTTTCGGACCAAAACCAGTCGACTCAGCGTCCAAAAGACTACAACATATGGGCCAATCGCGGTCATCCGTGCTTTCATAAGAACGAAATGGCGCTTTTAGTGACATTTTGCATACAAATCCCCATCTAGTAGGGCGCAGTCACCCAGTTTCGGTGGAAGTGCGCGAGTTCGATTGGGATTCAAGTAGGAAGGGAGCGTCTCAGCTTTCTCGGACCAAGACCATTCGACTCAGCACCCCGAAGACTACAACTGGTGAAATTTTGATTTTTGCCTTAACTTCCCCTTTAACTCGGCGAACATCTGGCGACAGCCGACCATTGGTTTCCGCCGTGAAGCTTTGGAACACCCTGCCACGGGAACTCACGTCCACTCGTCGTCCAACCCCGTTTAAAAGATTGCTGAAAGTGTTTTTCTACGGTTAATATGGCCGAATAGCACCTCCCTCTGGCATAGGTCCTCATCTTCCTATTTCTCCCTGATTGTTACTTCGTTCGAACTTGACTTGTAATTTGTAATTACCGGTACAAATACTTCCTATTGACTGTTTTCTCATTTTCTCAAGTGCAGCTTTTAATATCGAGCCACACTTTTTATTCTACGCCATCATAATATTGGGCATCAATGCCCGTTTGGTTTGCGATGTTAAAATAAAACTTCAAACAACACAACACTCACTCTATCACGATGTTATCCATACAGATAGCGTGCCGACTTTTAATTATAGTGAGTCCCTGCGCCCTTTCGTCTAGCTAGCGTTCTGCGACCACCGCCTTGCCAGAATGATGACAAAAATAATGATAGAACTGCGAGTACGAGGCACCTACAACACCTGTTGTGTTCCCTCCCGCAGCGGAAACAGTAGCTGGGTGGAGTTCATCCTATAGACCTAGGAGCGTGGGCGTCGGTGTGCGTATTTTCGGCATCTGCTCGGCTAAAGTTAGCACAAAAGAATGCTTGGGTCAGCAGATCAGAATGGTGGTGCCGCAACCTTAGCCACAAATTTACATACGTCTTTTATTTGACCGATGAAAGAACGAGAGAAGGTAACGACGTTACGTAACGTCGTTCCTGGCATGCACGATGCAAGATCGTTCGCACAAAATATGAACGGGTGAAACGCCGCGAAACCTAGCACCAGCCAGCCCTGCACTGCATGCAGGCTGCACGCTACGCTGCACGGCCAGCTGCTACTTGTCAACCGTTTCACCGTTTTCACGGCCGAGCAGATTTTCATTCAATGCTTTTCCTTTTGATTGCGACATCACATCTTCGATCGACGAGAGCTTGCGTATGTCTCCAACGCTGATTGGGCAGCTGGAACACATTACATCATCAATAATATTGATGGCAAAATCAAAAAAAGTGACAGCTAGCTACTGTCTGTACTGTACTGTCTGTAGAGTGTAGACTGTCTGTATACATGTAGGCCATAGCTACACATCGTAACCGGCTTTTGAGTTTTGTAGCTCCTACTCGGAGTACTCCTATCCTACAAAGCCGGCCTTCGGAATCATGTTGCTGGCTCAGTGTCTGATTCGTGTGACTTCTGTCTGCACTCTAGCTCTGTAGACAGTGTAGTTCAGTGAAGAAGGTACGAAAGCTGACATTGTCATATCCCGCCCATGGCCCAGGTCATGATGTGTGCCATGGCATTTGTGTACTGGTAGACTCTCGATCTCCTACTATTTTTTTTCCTAGGCTAGACAGAAAGCTAGTCGGAGTCTGTAGATGAGGAATGACATGTCACCGGGCTTGCGGTGAATCATTGTGAAACCATCGGCTTTGATACACCCACAACCATGATCCGCACTCAGCCTCCAACCATGATCCGCACTCAGCCTCCTGGCATGGCAGTCAGGGCAAGTAAAGTGATATGGACCCTAATTTTGTGCCTGGACTCTGCCTCGGGGTTTTCACTTTTGGGAATGAGCTGCACACATACCTTGTGACCCGGTAGTGGAGAGCATTACATGTAGTATTATTATACTAGTACTAGTAGCCTTTGGGTTTTCAATGAACAGTAGACCAAGGGGTACGAGTCACTGTGCTTCTTGCCTCAGCAGACCTTTTATTTGAACAGATCGAAAACATGCTAAGCGCAACATAATTATTATGTTCACTCAACAGCACTACCGGTACAGCATCTACAGTCACTGTCAGTCGATTCGTATCCAGTATCGCTGGCCGGGCAAGAAGGAGAAACTGTTACTTGACCTGAAAGGCACATTTTCGGATTTCTGAAATGTGCGCTATCATAGCAAACTATGTGACATAGTACAATCTCATGTACATGACATACGTTTATACCGGTATGTACATGTACGCGTACATGAGGTTGTATTTCTCGCAGTTAGAGCACAATAACTACTTACTTACATGTATGTCTAGCAGCTGTCCGGAAATCTACAATGTACTTACACTGAGTCTGTATCATGTAGTGATGTACTTCAATCCACATTATCAGTTAGCGACTTTACTATTAATTTTTGCATTTCCGACCATGAAGATAGCGCCCCGACGTAAACCATCATGGTAAACATCCTATTGCCTATTGAGATCTACTCCAAGTCCATAATACTAATAGTCGTCCTAGACCACGTAGAGACGTAGAGACCCAGTACTCCCAACAACACTCAACGCAACCGACTGTCTCTAGAAGTCTAGATACTAAGCAAGATAGCGCATGGCTCTGTCTTACTCTAGTGAAACTGTCATCACGCCGTCATCTAGATTCTAGTGCAACTGGCTCGCAAGGGCGATTTTGGTCCAGAGTACAATGATGAATACTACTACTTACTAGTACAGTAGTAGTAGATCTACGTAGTCGGAGCTGCATGCGCATGTACATGCAGATGAGAACATTTATACGTAACTCGTTTTATACGAAAGATGCGGTCTCGAGTCCGTCTTATGATCGATCGGCGCCAATGATGTAAGTAGAACGTGTTGATTGGCCAGAAAGTGAAATGGCTCGTCATGATGATGGTCGGGCTGCTATAAAAGCGCTCCCTCGTGACGCGGACAATCAGTGGTAAACAAGCGCTCAAAATCCAAATTCTAATGCTTGTTGTGGAGGCGGAAAATAATTGCTAGTACTAGTAGTATAGCACGTGTGGACTCTTAACTTAGTAATCACTTCATATTATTGTATTCATTTGCACCATAACCATTGTACTAGGTCAAATCAAATATCTATCGTCGTGTGGTTTCAAGTGGCATCGCTCAGATACTAGTACTAGTAGTAGTAGTCCGTTTCGTGCTCACAATGCCGGGAACTTTGGAGGAAAGTGAAGCTGCGGATGGTGGAGTGGAGCCAGCGACTCGCACCTTCACACCCATACAGCGTCAATCGTCATACAGCAAAGCGGTGGAAGATGCCTCGGCGAAGAACTCCAAGAGCGTTGGCGATGACGAGTAAGTGGTAGTCTGACATTGTGAAATCATGATTGTAGGGTTGGACGACTTTCAGGTGAACTAGTGGATTGTCACGCTACCCTTAGTCTAAGAGCAGTTATGTCCATGCAATGTAATGCCAACGCCGCCTAGCGCGCAACCATCACCTTTGCAGTTTCAGGACGAAGGGTATTTTGCGCAGCACTCTACAACTAAATTACTTATCTGTGTGTTTGGGAGTCCAGAGCGATTTTGTGTTTCGAATCAGCCGGTACGTAATTATTTACCGCGCCGATGTCCAACGCTAAGCTGGTAATGACTATTGCCATGCCATGCCAGTATTGAAGGTGGTGTCATCTCGCTATGTATCACTGCATGTACATGTACAAGAATTATTATTGTAGCTGTTTCAGCGTTGGTTCGATGAGAATATAGACAAGTACTAGTACTAGTAGTAGCAGTTGACAGGACTGTGACGCTGAACATTCACAGTACATGTACATGTACGATATCGGATATGTATGTATGTATGTATGTATGTATGTATGTATGTATATTTTTATTTGAATTCGCAAGTACACACGGGCTACAAGCCCAATTACATGGAAGCGAATGCCATAATGAGGCCAATTAAGAAAAAAAGGTGGAGGAAGGAGGAGGACGGTAGCAAAGCAACAGGGAGGACAATTCAGGACCAAAATCAACAATTGCACAAATGTGAGAGCACCTGAGACCGAGGGTACCTGTGGAGCGATAAAATGCCAAGCAAACAGAAGAAAGGAAATCACAAGCAAATACACGCTAAACTGCACTTTACTCTCGTACTACTACTAGTACTAGTACTACTAGGCAGTAGATGCCCCAGGGAACGTGTGAGATCAGGTCTACAGTAACATAGTCATTGGCAATAACAGCTGTGCAGGATTGTCACGCCGCGTGTGTGTTTCTTTCTGCATTTTTAAATTAATTGCTCCGTTTGGAAGTGATGTGTCTGGGATCTCTCTTATGAAATCTCAGCTGCGTGTGGCTGATCTCCTCATTCATCAAACCCTGCTTCATTCTGGAGATGTTTCATTCTAGCTAGTAATAATTACTAGCATCATGACCATGATGATGATGTACTGAAGCTTGAATATGAGGCTCAGTACTAGTAGTACTCAAGTGTCAATGTCACAACTACTTGTGCTAGTCACTCTAGCCTAGGCCAGGGGGACATAGGGACACCTGGGACCAACACTACTGCAGCACTGCCTACTGGGTGACTGTATACACATGGCCACATAATTGTGATTTCATGCTCAGCCACACACTCAGGTATGCCTGGCTGCACACTGAGCACTCAGAGTAGCACTCCCAGGTGCAGTGGGTGTGAACTGCAGGCAGTGCAGTGAAGTACCCTCCAATGCTCCATGCACTGCTGGATGAGAGGGGGAAATCCCTGGCAGGTCCAGCCATGACTCTCAGTAGTATGACTCTATGAGTTAGACTATGACTCTATGAGTGTGAATGTAGCTACGTAGGAATGCACTGACACTGACAGACACTCACAGGCTGTACAAAGCATGTCTGTCGACGATGTCATGCATGGCTAGTTTCATCATGGTAGGTGGGGTGCATTTTGCATGAGTGTACAGAGCTTAGCTACTGCAGTCACCCCGATGTACACGTATGTGCCTACATTTGATAATTATAGGATATGACAATTAGTAACAGACGTGCACGCTCCCTGTCCATTCCTTTGCAAGCCTGTTTTTCATGGGCCTCATTTTTTGGGTTGTCTTTCTGATCTTGTGACTTTGCAGTCTCGAAGAAGAAGGCCTGGTCGATGGCAAGAAGAAGAAGGAGAAACCAGAAATGGTCCCAATCGAAGAGCTGGTGAGTTGGCTTTGCAGGAGTTATTCTATTTGGTGATTGTAATGTTCCTGAGTGAACATCAAGTTAGTTCCTGCACTCCATAGATCAACTTCACTCCACAAGTCCCAGACAACAACTAAAGTTTATTTACATAGAACAACGAAAGATAAAGATGCACAACCAGGATCCATATATGTACACAGTACGGGAATGCATATGGGTAACCGATCCCGGAACGGATCGGGTACAACAACGGGACCACAACATCTCCCTTTTTATGTTCGAAGAGAGAGAGGTTACAGAGGTAACAGCTCGAAGAATATTTAGTCATATACAAACAGAGGAGATAGGGTAGAGACACACAAATACTACATGCAGTTCACGATCATCAGCGTCAGCGACTGGAGTGATCATAGCATGAGCAATGACTAATGCGTTTACAGGTCGAGTCTGTTCAGCGGCCGGGATGGACGTGCTGATCGGCGCAAGATAGGCTGGAACTCGACATCAGCGGATGGAGGTTCTGCAGGTGTAGTGACATTCAACTGCGGTGTTGGTGTTGGTTGCACATCAGGTAGCAACTTGACGTGGCGACGGTTGCGGCGGTACTCTGACAGGTTGTCGGTCGTGACAATATAGGATCTGTCGGAGACGCGGTCTGCAATCACGGCTTCGGAAGCGAGATCTTGCACCCAGACTCGGTCGCCTTGGGTCAATGGTGGCAGAGATTGTGCTCGGTGTGACGAGTCGTACGTCTCACTCTGTCGGTCTTTCTGCCTCACCTCGAACTTCCTTAGCTTGGAAATATCAGGCCAACTTGGAGCGAGGGATTCCGCTGTACATGGGAGGTGTGTGCGTAGACGACGACCAAACAGGAGCTCGGCTGGCGAGTAGCCGTTTGCGAGGGGTGTTGACCTGTAACTGAGTAGGGCATCGTTGAGGCTGTTGTTGGTCTTCAGGAGACGCTTGAATGTTCGAACTGCTCGCTCAGCTTCACCGTTGCTCTGTGGGTAGTGCGGGCTACTGGTGCGGTGGGTGAGCTGCATTTGGGCTGTGAATGCGGCGAATTCAGCACTTGCGAACTGTGGACCGTTGTCCGACACAAGAGCTTGAGGGATGCCATGGATGGCGAACAGCTCGTGGAGTTCCTTGATGACGGCTCCAGAGGTAGTCTTCCGTAGCGGGATGGCGTGAATGTACCTGGAGAAGTAGTCGACAGCAATGAGGTACTCCTGACCGTCATGTTGGCAGAGGTCGACTCCTATTCTCTCCCATGGCAAAGAGGGAAACGCAGTTGGAGACAGAGGCTCTGGCGGCTGAAAACGATGCTTGGTGCAGGTCAGGCAGTTCTGCACGCATTCTGAAATGGCACGTGTGATACCTGGCCACCAGACGGAGGATTTCGCACGGGCCAGGCACTTGGTTATGCCTTGGTGGCCGTCATGCAAAGTGGCAAGTGTAGCTTTGCGCTCGGACGCCGGGACTACGATCCGAAATCCGTGGTACAGCAGACCGTCGTGAACTGAGAGCGAGCCACGTTCGTTGCGGTAGGCTTCCAGGTCTGCGTTGACCTTGGTCGGCCAGCCATGGAGGGTATGCTGGATTACTTGTTGCAGGACTGGATCGTCAGCAGTGGCTGTAACGAGAGCGTGTTGCTTGGTAGGACTGCATAGAGACGACAGGACAGCGGCGATGGTGGCTTCCGAGTCACTGTGTAGGTCGGATTCGGTTGCTGGCGTGTCAGGAAGAGGAGCTCTGGACAGCGTGTCGGCGAGAACCATGTTCTTGCCAGGCACGTACTCCGCCTGTACATCGTAGCGCATGAGTCTGATCAGTAGACGTTGGCAGCGTAGAGGTACTCGGTCGAGGTCACGCGTGTTCATTAGTGGGACCAGCGGCTTGTGGTCCGTTTGAATGGTAAATCGGGGCGCTCCGTAGAGGTATTGATGGAAGTGTTCACATCCCCAGACCGAGGCGAGGAGCTCTTTCTCGATCTGGGCATACCGTTTCTCTGCTGCTGTCATGGTGCGTGAGGCGTACGCGACCGGCTTCCACTCATTGTCGTGGAACTGTAGCAGTGCAGCACCCAATCCATAGCTGCTCGCATCAGCCGTGACGATGGTCGGTGCAGACGGGTCATAGTACGCGAGACACGGGGCTGAGGCAGCTAGGCATTTGAGCTCTGTGAAAGCTAGCTCATGTGCTTTGGTCCATTGCCACGTCGCGTCGCACCGGAGTAGCTCGCGCAGTGGGGCGGCTACGGTCGACAACGACGGCAGAAACTTGGAGAGGTATGTGAAGAGTCCGAGTGCACGACGGAGCTCTTCCACATCAGCTGGTGCTGCGAGGCGCTCAATGGCATCCAGCTTGACTGGGTCAGGGTGGACACCCTTGTCGCTGATCCGATGGCCCAGGTACTTTAGGGACGTGCATCTGAACTTAGACTTGTTCGGATTCAGTGTCAGACCGGCATCGCGGAGTCGGTTCTCGACGGCGAGCAGAGCAGCATCATGCTCAGCCATCGATGAAGCATAGACGATGATGTCGTCTATGAACACTGCTACGTTGGGAATATCGCTGAGTAGACCTTGTAGCCGGCGCTGGAATATCTCAGGCGCGCTCGTTATGCCGAAGGGAAGGCGCTCGAACTTGAAGCGGCCATAGGGAGTGATAAACGTCGTCAGCAACGACGCTTCCTCGGAGAGTGGGATCTGCCAGAAGCCAGACGTGGTGTCCAGCGTAGAGAATATGGTAGAACCGTTGAGTTGTGCGAGCGTGTCGTCCACGGTCGGTAGCGGGTAGTGCTCTCTCTTGACGCTGGCATTCAGGCGCTTGAGGTCTACGCATACACGCACGTTGCCGTTCGGCTTGAGGACCGACACGAGGGGTGAACACCAGTCGGTCGGCTGCTCGACTTTTGTGATGACACCTGCTTTTTCCATACGCTCCAGCTCGGTACGAACCTTGAGGCGGATGTGTATTGGAATGCGTCGAGCATTTACACAGTTGTATGGTTTGCAGTCTGGCTTCAACTCAATCTCGACTGGCTTGCCTAGCATGCATCCGATTTTCGGCTGGGCATCTGAAGAGCCAACATGAAGACGTTGTACTAGGCCCATCAGTTCAGATGTCTGCCTGCTCAGCAAGTTGACACCACCAGTGGCAATGACCAGGATAGTGACTGGGTACTGTACATCACGGAACACAGCACAAGTGTGGAACTCACCCTGTATCGTGAGCTGGTTCCCATCAGGCCCAATCATACGTGTCTGGCACGGACTGAGTACTGGCGGTGCAGATAAAGCGTTGTAGCTGGCCTGCGTCATAATGTTGAGATCAGCTCCAGTGTCGATTTTGAAATCGAGGTGTGAGCCGCACAGATCCAGTCGTACTATCCACGGCTCGTCAGCGGTGTGGGTAGAAGCAGCTCCAAGGAAATTTTCGCCGACGGGGTCCGACTGCAAGTCAAACTCAGCTACATGCACATAATCGTTGTGTGCTGCACTGGCGGAGGCAGACCGGCAGACGCTGGCGAAGTGTCCAGACTTACGACACTTGTTACAAGACTTGTCCTTGGCAGGGCATTCGTCACGGTTCGATTTGTGGTCTTTGGAGGAGCCACACCACGAGCACTTCTTACTGTTGCTCGAGTCTCGTTGGGACTTGACCTGTGGTCGCTTTCCCGTCGATCCGTAACTTGCGTAAGCAGGGGACTTGCCGTGTTTCCGTTGCGGTGAGGTAGCTGCAGCAGCTTGGCTCACCCGGGGCGTTTGCTGGGCGACCTCGGCGTTTACGGACTCCGTTTTGCGTGCCAAGCTCACGGCAGTCTCGAGTGTCAGCTGAGCGTGATCCTCGAGCTGTAGCTTCTTCGAAACTTCTCGGTTCGTCATATGGGCCACCAACCTGTCGCGGATACGCTCATCTGACTTGTCAAACGCGCAATATTTGGCTGCGGCACGGAGACGACGCACATACTCTTCCACGGATTCACCTGGGTTCTGGACACACCTTTCAAACAATGTCCGTTGGTGGATTACGTTTACACCCGGGCGAAAATACTTGTCAAAGGCCTCCAGTACCTTGTCGAGTTTCTTCTTATCATCCGCGGACAGAGATAGAGACTCAAAGATAGGATCGGCTTCGGCTCCCATGGAGTAAACTAAAGTGTCTACTTGGCGTTGCCCGTCCGCCTCGTCCAATTTGGACAAAGAACTAAAGCGTTCAAAACGGGTCTTCCAGAGTGGCCATGCTTCTGGGGTGGAGAAATCGAACGGGGCAGGTACAGGAAATTTGGCAGACGACATGACTAACTGCTACTTCTGACACCATGTAATGTTCCTGAGTGAACATCAAGTTAGTTCCTGCACTCCATAGATCAACTTCACTCCACAAGTCCCAGACAACAACTAAAGTTTATTTACATAGAACAACGAAAGATAAAGATGCACAACCAGGATCCATATATGTACACAGTACGGGAATGCATATGGGTAACCGATCCCGGAACGGATCGGGTACAACAACGGGACCACAACAGTGATGGCAATGGTGGCAGCAGCAGCAGTACATAACTCCGGGTTGGGTGTTAGACATTGTACCCCCGAGTCCTTGAACTAGACGTACGTTGAACGCATGGTTTGCCAAAGAATGTGTCGGGTACAAGACTTTAATTGCAGCCCAACTAGCAGAGGTGGTGCTAGCGGAACCCTGGTGGGTATCTTCTTTTCTAATTGCATCGTTCTTTCTTGCCATACTCGAGGCAATCATGCTGGTGTGCCAACAGCTCGTTTGATTGCGCAGCATGGTGGCGTGATAGGTACCAATAGGCTGGCTGGCTGGCTGATTGGCTGGCTGGCTGCTGGTTGGCTGGTTGGCTGGCTGGCTGGTTGGTTGGCTGCTGCTGCTGCTGGACTCCCTCACTGTGTTAAACTGTGGGTAGGTGTAGAGGCATGGCGAATGACGTCATCGTCTATGCATTGTGTTGCGCAGCAACCAGTGCATGTGATGCCACTCCACACAACACACATGTAATTATATCACAGCGGGGGCATCAACACATGTATCACCGGCACTGAGCACATGTAGTTTGCCGTTGGTTGACTCTGAGCCGGCTCATTCAGAGGTGGAGACAGACTGAAAACCTGAAGTACGCACATGCTGTATACATGTATAGCCTGCATTGCGACGGTATAGCCAAAGGTGTGTCTTTTGTATGTGCCTGTTTGCTTTGTCTAGTTTCGCTATGCAACTGGACTCGATCACTTCCTGATCTTCGTCGGCATTGTAGCAGCGTTGATTCACGGTGGAGCACTTCCTGGTGTTATCTTTGTTCTGGGCGAGGTGAGTGCACTGGGTTTGACAGGGAGGCGATTGGATTAGGATTCTTGGAGAGGCCGTTTTGGCCAATGCCTCCTACTGTGGATTGACAAAGTTTCTGAGTATGAAAGTATTGTGCACGTGTGCCAGTGATCTTGAGCTATGTGCTGCAGATGTGCGCTGTGCAGATAGATAAGCCGTCTACATTGTCTTATGACAAAGTCACATTGCTTGTGTGCGTCTGTCCCATGTTTCTTTGTCAAGGTACTGGACGAGTTCATCAAGCAGTCCAACTACTCGGCAATGTACGGAAATGACACGGAAGGGCTGGCCAAGGCGAATGCCGACTTTGAGTCACAGATATCGATATTCGCCTGGGTGTTCGGAGGACTGGCCATGCTCACTTTCATTGTTGGCTACATTCAGGTAAGTCAGTGGTGCCATGACTAGCTGAAGATAGTCTTATGCCCGTGTTCTGTCTTTTGGCTGGGCTGTCTGTCATATATTCTCTGAAATACTACTTCAAAGTAAAAGTAAATTTGCATTTCACTCTCCCACATGCTAGCTGTGCAATGCAATGTTGTCAAGCGGGATCGACGAAACGTGCAGTTCACCCTGTGATCTAGAAAGAGGTTTGTGTCGCTGTATGCCGCCTTGATCAGGACAGCAGGTGTGCTGGCAATGGTGAAAGTACGTTGCAATGTTTGACTGATTCTGAGGCAGTCCGTGGACTTATGTACAAGTATGTGCAGTACATTCACCGCCAGTATGATGAGATTGCAGGACTTGCGAATGCTATCATTGAACTGTGCTTTTGTAGGTATGCTGCTGCTGCATTGTCACGGTTATCATCAGTGTCCTAACCAAGCTTAGTGTGTGTTAGTGCAGGCAGCACATTGATTTGTTGTGCACGTGTGTGTGTGTGTGTATGTGTGTGTGTGTGTGTGTGTGTGTGCATGCATGTGTATGTGTGTGTGTGTGTGTGTGTGTGTGTGTGTGTGTGTTCATATATCTTGATGTGAAGACGGCAGCATGGTACTACTCTGGCATTCGTCAAGTACATGCTGTACGCCGCAGCTTCTTCCGGTCCATCATCTACCAGGAGATGGGCTGGTTCGACACGCACAACACTGGAGAGCTGGTCAGCCGTTTGTCCGGGTAAGTGGAAACGAAAACGTCTGCGCTTGGCATTGATATCGATGTGACCATGTGTATGCACCTGTGCAAATCTGTCCCCGTCCCGTCCGGTACGTGAGTCAGAATACATACTTTCTCGTGCATAGCCTGGACGGATGTCCACATACTATAGCCGCCAAAAAAATCCGGCCAATGCTGCACAGGCCGTATTATTTTAGCGAATATAGTAGTTGCCCTTGGGCTTTTCGGCTTACCCATCCCATGGTTTCTTCCATGCGTGTGTGATGCTTACCCATGGTTTCTTCCATGCGTGTGTGGTGTTGTGCAGTGACATGATCAAGATCCAGCAAGGTCTTGGCGAGAAGAACGGACTGTTGGTCCAGTGGTTATCCAGCGCTATTGTCGGCATAGTGATGGGTTTTGTGCAAGGTCCTCTGCTAGCCCTGGTCGTCCTAGCCTGCACACCACTCCTTGCCATAGCAGCAGCCATGATGTCCAAGGTATATATGCAGTGTATGCAGTGTATGCAGTTAACATCTAACTAGCTACATGCCGGTGCTTGTGCATGCCCTTCTGTTTGCAACTTCTTTTGCTGTTCAGTATTAGTAGTACAGCATGTAGTTATTGGTGCTTTGTAACACTAATAAACCGCAATACACTAGCTGGTTAACTTCTTGGCAAGTTTATCTGCTACCCAGGGACTCACCCATACTTTGCAAACTCCTTTGTAAAGTGACGTGCAAGCAAGATTGCCATGCTGCACTAATGCAAGAACAGAAGATCTAATTGTACTTCTTATGCCGCAAGCCATCTCTGATTGATTTGAATTTCGCATTGCATTTGGTTATTGTGTGCATTATGTGCTGCTGTGCTTGTAGCTGTTGGGTAGCTACCAAAATAAGGAGCAAGGGGCCTATGCAAAGGCTGGCAGTGTGGCCGAGGAAGTTCTGTCCTCCGTTCGAACGGTCGTGGCGTTCGGCGGCGAAGACAAGGAAGTGGATAGGTGAGTCAGTCAGTGTGCACTTGAAATCATCCATGGTGTTGCTCCGGCCCTATTGCTGGTCACTTGAAACAATCCATGGTGTATTATTGATGTTGCTCCGGCTCTGTTGCTGGTGTGTTTATGCTATCGGCTTTTGAATCATCATTATTTACTTTGCCTGTCACCAGCAGGTTGATATGCGTTACAGACAGTGACGGCCGTTGAGCGATTGCACCTGAAGCAGCCTGGTCCATGACTAGGTGGTGCCAAAGCCCTGGTTCGATATAACAGTATGGTGATCTCCATACTGCTTATGTGCATCGGGTCATCATCCTAGTAGGAGTAGGGCTTTGGGAGTAGATGGTCGCCGATGCAGCATTTGCTGCACTTCCTGTGTCAGTCGTTATTTGCTTTGTTTCTCATAGCATGAAATTGCCAACCAAAGTAGAAGGGGTGAATGCTGCCAACTGTGGCCAATATAAGCATGACGGAAGTAGGAAAGAAACAGCAGCTGTTGGTAAAAGGAGGAGACTGACGTCGTTCACATGGCTCTTGACTGTACTGCGTTTGCAATGTTGTCATTAGCAATTTATCGGCAATCATACCGGTGTGTAGTCACTGCGCAACTTCCCAGGTCTCAGTGTATGTCAAGTTATAGTATCGGGCCTGAGATAATTTGATATCTTCAAAGAGCGGCAGTGTATTATTGCCGTGGTTGTGCAACGCAGGGCAGGTGAATATTGTGTGCTGTGCTGTGTGTGTGGTGTTGTGTTTCTGCAGGTACACAAAAGAGTTGGAGTCCGCACGGAAGCTGGGAAATCGCAAGGGAGCCGTCGTGGGCTTCGGAACTGCATTCGTGTTCGTTGTCATGTTTTCTACATACGGACTGGCATTCTGGTAAGACGGCTGAAGGGGTGACATACATGCACACAATAACTGAAGCACCCTGAGTCCAGCCCTCACATAGCATCACGTTTCAATTCCTCAAGTGCTGTATGATGTCAGTTTTTGAATCCTGAATTTGAGGATTGTAGAAAGGTACTGGTTTTAGACATTTGTCTCTCGTGTGTTTCTCCGGGCAAGTTTGCATGTTGCTGTTCATCTTTGCAGGGTGTCCAAGTTGCCTTAAAACTAGTGTGTGGTCTTTGCTCCGTATGAACTTTGTGCAGGTGGGGATCACAACTGATTATCAAGGATAAGCTTACCCCCGGTGATATGTTAACGGTGAGTCTGGTCTGTCGGTGTATATTAATGTACTTCAAGTGGTGTTGATGTGATGAAGTTGCTGCTCCTCTCCTGCTAGTTTCGCAACGGTGGCCTTTGTTGGTCTTTTGGAGAATCGAATGCCTTAGCGGAATAGTCCCAGAGGGCTGTCAAGTTTGTCAACCAAAATGCAATGCCAATCAGGCTGCTTTCATTCTAGGGCTGTCAAGTTTTGTCAACCAAAATGAAATGCAATCAGGCTGCTTTCATTCTATTATCACTACTTGAGCTGTGTGTAACCGGTTACAATTGTGACCTACGCCAGCCTGAGTCATCACCTACGCCAGCCTGAGTCATTCTCCTAGCGGTGTGGAAAGGAAGTGTTTGCTCGCCGAATACAACTGAAGTGTACTTTTCAGTGGTGTGAGGTAGAATCTGGAGTGGTGGTCTCATAACTCTCTTTTGTTTCCTGAACGCATGTGTCGCAGACGTTCTTTGCTGTTCTGATCGGAGGATTTGCACTTGGCCACGCCGCCCAGAACTCTGAGGGCTTGAGCACGGGACGAGGCGCTGCTGTTTCTGTGTACCGCATCATCAACAAGGTAGGCTGATTCTGCCGGGCTTAAATGCATGTGTTGCGATACTCGATGCGCTAATTATTTCCGCATGTTGTTGTATCTGGCCTTGCTGTATCTGGCCTTGCTGTATTGTCCGGCCTGGTGTCCTATATGGTCTAAAATGTGCGTATGAGGATGGTGTGACGTGTGGTGTATAAAGGAGTACGTGGTGTGGATGGCGCGATCGGTGACAGATATGGTGTGTGTGGTGCATGTCGGAGTAAGCGTTGTTAGAGAGGGTGAGATTCTGCTTCCGTCTGTGTGAGTGGGCTTGTCTACTAACTAGTTAGTTGTCGTGCATGCGTAGTTTATGCGGAGCATGCGCTGTGTGAGTAAGGCTTAGGTGCGAGAGAGAGAGAGAGAGAGAGAGAGAGAGAGAGAGAGAGAGAGAGAGAGAGAAACAGAGAGACAGAGAGAGAGAGACAGAGAGAGAGAGACAGAGAGAGAGAGAGACAGAGAGACAGAGAGAGAGAGGTGTGACTCGTCCACGGTGTCGTTGTCTTGGTTCTCGTGACGTGTATCGTACGCTGCATGATCTACATTCACAGAAGGAAGGAACGTACTAGGACATTGCACGATGACGTTGTTGTGATTGTACTTCCTGACCTGCTATAGTAGCTAGCTTGCAAGTCGGCCGGGGTCAGGAACTTCCTTTTTCAGTCTAAATTACACGGCCACACCGAGTCGTTGATGCATACAGGGAATGCTGCTTAACATGCTATCGCCAAAGCTTGCTTGTGTGTTTTCTTTTCTGTGCATTGCGTGGGATTTCAGGCATCACTGATTGACGCTAGCGCCACACGTGGCAAGCGGCTGGACAAGTTTTCGGGTGACATTTCATTTGAGAATGTTGGTTTCACGTATCCCAGTCGACCGGACACCAAGATTCTGACCAAGTTAGATCTTAGAATACCGTCGGGCAAGACGGTGGCCATTGTTGGTGCGAGCGGCTGCGGCAAGAGTACTATTGTCCAGCTCATTCAGCGAATGTATGACCCGGATCACGGCACGGTAAGAGACGGTGGGTGTGTGTTTGTTGGGTGCTACTCCCATCAAGAGGGCCCTATGTGAAGGTGACTGCTCATGATGTGATCACCGTGCCTGGGATTTACGTTCTGGTTGAAATTTCTAGTGTCCTGTGACCTCTTTTGAAGTGCACGTCTAATAGAATGCGTCGGTAATGTGATGTGTTGTCTAGAGTTTGATTCCATGTAATTGATCCACTTGGCTCTGTGCAACTACCACCCATTAGTATGCTCAATTTAAACTGGTGTGTGTGTGTATAGATTTCAATGCAAATTCTCTACTTATGCATCCTTGTATGTATCATCTGTGCATAATAATTATGATTGTACGGTTTTGTGTATTAAATGCCAATACTGCCAATAGGTGCAACTAGATGGCGAGGACATCCGTGAATACAACCTCGCTTGGCTGCGCAGTCAGATTGGTGTCGTGAGCCAGGAACCACTTCTGTTTGCTGCCACCATCAAGGAGAATATCATGTATGGTCTCGACCGTGGCTACATCACACAGGATGAAGTTGAAGTTGCCGCTACAGCTGCCAATGCCCATTCGTTCATTATGGACTTGCCTCACGTAAGACCCCATCAGCATATCCATCTTCAGCATAACCATCTTCAGCATAACCATCTTCAGCATAACCATCTTCAGCATATAACCATCTTCAGCATAACCATCTTCAGCATAACCATCTTCAGCATATAACCATCTTCAGCATAACCATCTTCAGCATATAACCATCTTCAGCATAACCATCTTCAGCATAACCATCTTCAGCATAACCATCTTCAGCATAACCATCTTCAGCATCTGAGATTGTTGGGGGTGGTAACTTAGCAGATACAGGAGAAGGGCAGGGAAGTGTACTTTTGATAGCAACCAGAATCTGATATTCTTCAACTTTGCCACGGTTGACTTACTCGTTAGTTCCGCGTACATGTATTTCAGGGTGGCATTTGCTGTTGCATTATCCCATTTGTTAGACCCGAGGTCAGTTATAGTGTCTGAAATGCCTAAGGAATGGCCTTACTGAAGCTGGGTGTGTGCGTTATGTGTTGCAGGGTTATGACACGCTGGTGGGAGAGCGTGGCTCGCAGTTGTCTGGAGGTCAAAAGCAGAGAGTAGCCATAGCCCGTGCCCTGATTCGCAACCCACGTATTCTTCTGCTGGATGAAGCTACGAGCGCCCTTGACACGGAGAGTGAAGGCATTGTTCAAGAAGCGCTAGATAAGGTAGGTGGGCGTTTGTGAGTGTTTTGTGCAACACCATGTGGCTCAGCTGTCTACATCATGATGGTTTAGCAGTGATTGTAATGTCGCATGGTGAACAAGTGAATCTCGCTCCCGCTCTCTTTCCCTTTTTGTGCGCTATTTCTTCTTGTGCAAGATTGTGTACTTTTGTTGGTTATGAACTGTTCCTACTGTACAGGCTCGCCTGGGCGCACCACCATGTGGCTCAGCTGTCTACATCATGATGGTTTAGCAGTGATTGTAATGTCGCATGGTGAACAAGTGAATCTCGCTCCCGCTCTCTTTCCCTTTTTGTGCGCTATTTCTTCTTGTGCAAGATTGTGTACTTTTGTTGGTTATGAACTGTTCCTACTGTACAGGCTCGCCTGGGCCGCACCACGGTTGTGATTGCACATCGACTGTCGACAGTGCGCAATGCCGACCTCATTGTAGCCATTGACAACGGAGAGGTTAATGAGATTGGAACTCACGACGAACTGATGACTGCTAAGGGCATCTACTACACCTTGGTGACTATGCAGGTACGTAGCCGCTGAGATGCGCTAGTGAGATGGTGAGATTAACTGAGCAAGCATAGAAGGCCAGGGGAGATAATAATAATAAAACAGCACGCATATAGCTCATATGAAAAAAATCAAATGAGGGTCAGTGCATCTGTCGACAACGCCGAGCCAGTGCGTTCTGTCTGAGGCAAGTTGCTCCGCTTCCAAAAGAGACATATTGAGAAGTAAAAGGTCATTCCTAATGTTGTCTACCCATCTGGTCACTGGGCGACCTCTGGGCTTCTTTATATCTGTTATATTCATTGCCATGTGAAGGGCTTTGTACGACACAGCGTCCTTCCCTTCACGAATGACATGTCCAAACCATAATAAGCGCCGGCGTCTACAGACTGCACTTATTGGGCATTGAGCAGTTTTAGCATAAAGAGCATTATTCGAAATTTTATTGGGAAAGATGATTCCAAGTATGTATCTGAGTTTACGGCGGTGCCATACATCAATTTTGCTTTCTAAGGCTTTTGTTAGAGTCCATAGCGCGCAGTTATATAGAAGAACTGGCAAAATGAGACAGTTGAACATGCTTAAGCGGGACTGCTGGGTATGGCGTTTCCATGATACACTGGAAAATGCCCGGTTCGCTGCTATGATACGTGCATCAATGTCCTCCGCTGACCCCAGACGAGAACCCAACAGTTTGACCGACCTCCAGGAGGCATCTGACTTTGTAGCTGTTACAAATTGTGTTTTGCTGATGTTTAGTTTTAAGTTGTCTTCTGCGAAGATGGGTTCGCATTTCTCTACGGTTGCTTCAACTGCTGTCCGGCTGTGGTCATGCACTGTTGTATCATCTGCATACAGGGTGAACTTAGTAGGTAGATTGACTTGTTCTGGGCAGGCTTCTCTGATCCTCTGCATTGCACCTTCTGCGTAGACAATATACATAAGGGGTGACAGGGGGTCCCCCTGCACCACTCCAACATTAGTTGGAAATGACTGACTGAGCTGCTTTCCCAGCTTCACGCAAGCAGAGGTTTCGGAGACTAGTTGCTGAATAGTGCTAACATGTGCACCTGCCGAAGCCAGACGGTCAACAGCAGTCTGCCTGATTATTGTATCAAATGCGCCACTGAAATCTAAAAGCGCCGCTGAGTAACTCCAGTCTCCTAGCAAGGCCAGGGGAGATATTGTGTACTATATTCCCGGAGTATAAGCCGCACCGGAGTATAAGCCGCACCCAGATGTTTTGCCACGAAATACAGACATTTACCCTATTTATCACCATGAATTTGACCATCGCAGGATATAAGCCCCACCGCCTTTTGGGGAAATACGGCAGTAGGCATGTAGAGTAAACATAGTGGTGGTCCATTCTTCAGCCTTGCACTGCTGTGTTGAGTGGTGATCCATTCTTCAGCCTTGCACTGCTGTGTTGAGTGGTGATCCATTCTTCAGCCTTGCACTGCTGTGTTGAGTGGTGATCCATTCTTCAGCCTTGCACTGCTGTGTTGAGTGGTGATCCATTCTTCAGCCTTGCACTGCTGTGTTGAGTGGTGATCCATTCTTCAGCCTTGCACTGCTGTGTTGAGTGGTGATCCATTCTTCAGCCTTGCACTGCTGTGTTGAGTGGTGGTCCATTCTTCAGCCTTGCACTGCTGTGTTGAGTGGTGGTCCATTCTTCAGCCTTGCACTGCTGTGTTGAGTGGTGGTCCATTCTTCAGCCTTGCACTGCTGTGTTGAGTGGTGATCCATTCTTCAGCCTTGCACTGCTGTGTTGAGTGGTGATCCATTCTTCAGCCTTGCACTGCTGTGTTGAGTGGTGATCCATTCTTCAGCCTTGCACTGCTGTGTTGAGTGGTGGTCCATTCTTCAGCCTTGCAAGCTGTGTTGAGTGGTGATCCATTCTTCAGCCTTGCACTGCTGTGTTGAGTGGTGATCCATTCTTCAGCCTTGCACTGCTGTGTTGAGTGGTGATCCATTCTTCAGCCTTGCACTGCTGTGTTGAGTGGTGATCCATTCTTCAGCCTTGCACTGCTGTGTTGAGTGGTGGTCCATTCTTCAGCCTTGCACTGCTGTGTTGAGTGGTGGTCCATTCTTCAGCCTTGCGAGCTGTGTTGAGTGGTGAAATCCCTACACAAATTGCTATGGCTTCTGCTGGAGCATCACTATCATCATCGCCTCTGGTAATGGGCGCCGAAGGTCACGTGTATGAAAGAGCAATGCAATGAAAAAAGCCATAAACACTTTGCTGCGGATGAGGATCCACTACGAACGCTGTGTTAGTGGCGAGAGCTGTGTTAGTGAGGTGGTGAAAGCAATGTCGGGGGGGGGGGGGGGGGGGGGGATAAAGGCTGCGTATCAAGGGTTGCAATTTTCCGACGGATCTAGAATGGACGCTTTTTCTCACAGCTCTAAAACTCGGCCCAATATCCAGATCCACCTGATGGCATGCCAAACCCAAACTCACATAATGATCTTGGCTTACCAAGCCACAGTGGACGGCAGTGGTTGCAGTGGGGTGGATAGAAATGTGATACAAAATGTGTGGGCTGTCACGGTTATACGCCTCGTAGGCACTCTATGCCACAGAAGGGGGGGGGGGGTATTATGGATGCACATAGGCAAGCAGTGCGTTGTTTTTCTCCTGCAAATACACCAGCACTTCCATTGATCATATTTTTTGCACGCACGTGTGTGTGTGTGTGTGTGTGTGTGTGTGTGTGTGTGTGTGTGTGTGTGTGTGTGTGTGTGTGTCGTGATCGCAGACATTCTTGACCGAAGCCAGGCCAGAGACATTGGAGGACTCAGGTGAGTTGTCTTGCTTGGCGTGGACAGTGCATGGTTAAACCAACACAGGCTAGGTTATAGGAATGAAGTACATGACTTGTACAGTTATGTACATGTACATCAATATGGTATAACCAGGGTTTGAGTAGATGGAGGGGAGGGGGGTGAAGATGGAGGCATGCAATGTGTGTGTTGAAATGTAATACATGTGTTGGTCAGATTAAAGGGATATCATGCAGTCAGCGCTGGTCCAACTGGACAACTGTCGGCTGGACAAGCAAAAGTTGGCTTTGAACCAAAGCATCCTGTGGATGTACTTGGACCGTAGTCTTGTCAGTTTGAAAACATGATGTACAGTCAACTTCGCCTATAACGACACTCGGCGGGGCATCAGAAAAGTGTCCTTATTCGCGAAGTGTCGTTATACCCGAAGTCTCATTATATGTATTACAGTTAGATGGGACTTTGCTCTGGGCATGGGAATTCTGGCGAATTGTCGTTATATCCGCGTCGTTATTAGCGAAGTGACCAGATGGGTAGACAACATTAGGAATGACCTTTTACTTCTCAATATGTCTCTTTTGGAAGCGGAGCAACTTGCCTCAGACAGAACGCACTGGCTCGACGTTGTCGACAGATGCATGACCCTCATTTGATTTTTCATATGAGCTATATGCGTGCTGTATTATTATTATTATTATTATTATTATTATTATTATTATTATTATTATTAAACTCGGATGTTGAGCCATAAATAAATGTAGAAGAGAAAAGGACATATGGATACGAGTTAAGAGTAACTCTCCATCACTGTAACATGATACTTTATACAGTCAGAAAGTGCAATAACTAGGCACAAAACTGACAGAGTACTGAAACATTCGACGTCCTGACACCTAGCTTCAACACATCTCCGTAGCGCTAACCGACAGCCTTCCAACTTGGAAGGTTCAAGGTTATGGAAAGACCAAAGAGGGGAAGGCAAGCGCAACGAAAACGAGCAAAAGCTACAGTCCCAACGGAACAAAGAATGTCGATTGTTACTGGACGATGACGAGACCAGTACGATATTTGACAAAGCGGTCTAACTACAATTCGAAGCAGCAAAGCAGCACACCACCCAACTGTACTGAATTGTAGTTAGACCGCTTTGTCAAATATCGTACTGGTCTCGTCATCGTCCAGTAACAATCGACATTCTTTGTTCCGTTGGGACTGTAGCTTTTGCTCGTTTTCGTTGCGCTTGCCTTCCCCTCTTTGGTCTTTCCATAACCTTGAACCTTCCAAGTTGGAAGGCTGTCGGTTAGCGCTACGGAGATGTGTTGAAGCTAGGTGTCAGGACGTCGAATGTTTCAGTACTCTGTCAGTTTTGTGCCTAGTTATTGCACTTTCTGACTGTATAAAGTATCATGTTACAGTGATGGAGAGTTACTCTTAACTCGTATCCATATGTCCTTTTCTCTTCTACATTTATTTATGGCTCAACATCCGAGTTTCATATTGCACACCTGATGAGCCGTCACGAACCATACGGCGAAACGTACGTCGTGTGAAACAACTTGTTTTGTAGTCAACTAGTCCATCACAATGTCATGCATGAGGAGTACTGTAGGAGTTTGGCTTTCGGCTTGTACAATTCGTTTTCGCAAAGCTTCCCTTTCTTTACTTATCTTTGATATTTATGACCCACCCAAGTTGGGTGGTGTGCTGCTTTGCTGCTTCGAATTGTAGTTAGACCGCTTTGTCAAATATCGTACTGGTCTCGTCATCGTCCAGTAACAATCGACATTCTTTGTTCCGTTGGGACTGTAGCTTTTGCTCGTTTTCGTTGCGCTTGCCTTCCCCTCTTTGGTCTTTCCATAACCTTGAACCTTCCAAGTTGGAAGGCTGTCGGTTAGCGCTACGGAGATGTGTTGAAGCTAGGTGTCAGGACGTCGAATGTTTCAGTACTCTGTCAGTTTTGTGCCTAGTTATTGCACTTTCTGACTGTATAAAGTATCATGTTACAGTGATGGAGAGTTACTCTTAACTCGTATCCATATGTCCTTTTCTCTTCTACATTATTATTATTATTATTATTATTATTATTATTATTATTATTATTATTATTATTATTATTATTATTATTATTAACTGGTTTTGAGGGAAAGAGACAAACGGGAAAAGTCTGTAGAAAAAATTGACTGTCACCACCAGGACTCGAACCAGGGACCCTCGCTTGTAGCCAGCGATGCTCTAACCACTGAGCTATGGTGTAGTCGTCATCCCAGCAGAGACCGTTCAATGTTTTCTTCAGACTTCGTAACTCACACTTCCCGTGAATCCACACAGGCGGGTGGGACGCAGCCCTCACTGTACCCACACACTTCACGTACAAACTAGCACGCGGGGAGCCCCAAGTCATAAAATATTAACTGGTTTTGAGGGAAAGAGACAAACGGGAAAAGTCTGTAGAAAAAATTGACTGTCACCACCAGGACTCGAACCAGGGACCCTCGCTTGTAGCCAGCGATGCTCTAACCACTGAGCTATGGTGTAGTCGTCATCCCAGCAGAGACCGTTCAATGTTATTATTATTATTATTATTATTATTTGAAACTCGGATGTTGAGCCATAAATATATGTAAAAGAGAAAAGGACATATGGATACGAGTTTAGAGTAACTCTCCATCACTGTAACATGATACTATATACAGTCAGAAAGTGCAATAACTAGGCACAAAACTGACAGAGTACTGAGACATTCATATATATTATTATTATTATTATTATTATTATTATTTATTAGCGAAGTTGACTGTACATGTAGTATATCATTCTTACCAGCAGCTCCACTTTTCGGCCGATTGCATCAGTATCACAGCAACAGCCCACTGATGTACTGCAAGTGCCACTTGCTCTTCACCAACCCGCCTGCAACCACGTAGTCACGGCTTGTTTCTGCAAACTTAGGACATCTTTTCATCCCTTCCTGTACAGTAACCATTTTCTGTTGTCAATATTGTTGTTTTGTGCATGACAGAACTTGCGCTTGGAAGTTTGGCTGGCGAAGTTCTGTCAACAAACATTGGTAGTCCGGTGCGGCAGATTTCCTTGAAAGACGAGGCGGCCAGGTTCACCAGGCAGTTTAGCAAGCAAACGTCAACTGCTGGATCTGCAGCGGGTCAATCTGCCGCCGACGTACGTACACCACACTACGCATGCACACGGTTGATGTTCACCGGTGAAGTACCGTAAAGTACCGCGTGAGCGCCCCACCATCTCGTCCTTTCGCGGTCGTGTTGTGGCCCGGGTGGTGTTCTGTCCGTAGGTCATACGACGCGAACCTTGTACACACATTACACATCGTGCAGTCAATCCGTACTCAATTTACTTTCAAGCGGACACGAGCTCCACACACAAACCCGTTACGTGTGACCTTAGTACGCTAAGTTCTCATACCGTATAAAGTTCGTTGCACTTTGCCAAACGATTTTCCTTTCCCTGGCTGTAAAATCAAGGTGGGGCGCTCTTGCGGTACTTTACGGTAGTACTAAGTTCACTGCATGCATACCAAGTTGTTAGATCATGACCTGATTGTGTGTTTCTATAAGTGACTGTTCCCTGAAAAGTGCTCACACATTTGTTACAGATGTCTACCCAGCTTATGACTGTGTGCCCTATCATTCTGAGTGTGGGGGCGTATGGAGTACTTGCATTCTCCTCTTGACAGTGTTCATGACTACACTGTGCAGGCCTGATGTGTCTCCCGTACATGTGCCCAACTAACTTTGATGCATGTGCTTCTTTATTTGCAGCTCAAGCGTCAACCATCCACAACAGCACCGGCGAAGGGAACTGATGATAAGAAGAAGCCTGCGGAACCGGAGGAGGAAGAGGACGACGAGTTCAAGGATGCCAAGGGTCCCACGCTGCGTTTGTTGCGCGACAGCGCTCCGGAGTGGTGGGCACTGCTCATCGCTGGACTGGGTGCTTTGGTGCAAGGTGCAACAATGCCAGCGTTTGCCCTCCTCTTCTCTAGAATGCTGGAGGTAAGTTGCTCTGACTCCATTCACATTGACGAACATTTTACAGTGCGTTGCATATAACATAACATAACTTCATGTACAGTGATGCAATGTGATGCAATGTGATGCAATGTGATGCAATGTGATGCAATGTGATGCAATGTGATGCAATGTGATGCAATGTGATGCAATGTGATGCAATGTGATGCAATGTGATGCAATGTGATGCAATGTGATGCAATGTGATAGCACAGAAAACTGCTCGTTACACTGACAGTGCTAACAGAGGGAGGCCTCACGCCCACTTGAATGCTAAGATCAGGGGCGTCACAGGGTGGCTGGGAGTGGTACGACTGGGGGTCCGGGGGTGTCCCCCGGAGAAAAAAATAAGGATTTTTCGGCTAACAGGGCACGTTTTAGCACCCTACAGCCGCAAAGGAGGAGGGTTCCCCTAGCACTTATTAGACAACCCCACTCCAGCTCAAAAAACATACTTCTCAATTTCTCATGGATTTTTTGGTATTTTCTGTACATCGTAGGTAGCCAAGCAAGGCAAAAGGAACCCATTGCCCTCGAAAAAATCGCAAAATCCGAAGTACAAGCGTGCTGCGCGCGCGTTCTAGCGCCAGCCGCTGTGCAAAAATGTATGTCATGTGCTGCAAAAGTCCGCCGCGTCGCTATGTACACGGCCGGCCTGGACAGTCGCGAAGTAATTATTTTAGTTGTTTTTAGAGAGAGAAGATCGTTTTTTTTGTTCGGTGGGATTGAAAGATCTGCCATGCCAGTGGACCGGTCCGGAGAGCTACAACACTGGAAGCAGAAGAAAGGGCTTGCGGAATAATCTTCTCTGTCTTCGTGGCAACAGGACTTTAGTTTGCGAGAGACCTTCGTCCTCAGTGTCGTCGCGGACGCAATTCTTGTTGCTGCTACCAGAAACCTCGGAAAACGAAACGATCGTAAATCGTTAGGTGAAGCGGGTCGTGTCGGTGAACAGCTGCAGAATATTCTGCTGCCGTGGAGCAGCAGTCCAAACACTATTCAACTAATTACTTCCGAGAAAGAAGCGCTTCCCTTTTCCGTTGACAAGCGCGGCGTTCGCGGTTGTAATGCATTTTCGCATCAGCTTGCAGTAGATCGTCAGGAGCCAGAGGTACTAGGTAGGTGTCGTTGTGGAAAGAATAAATATTATAATGATGTTGTAGCTGACAAGTGACATACTCAGTACATGTAGTGCCTCTTGACCGTGCTGATCGCCATTGTAACATGGTAGATCTTGGAAAATTTTAGTTCTGGACCCAGTGATCGCCGCCAGCTCAGCTCTGTTTCCGTCAAGTTTGCAGTGAATGCGTCCGTGAGGAATCCATCGTCTGGTTGTCTCTACCCGTGACTCCAACCGCCTATCGATATCGTAATGGATAGCCGCCTGGAGTCTTGGGCAATAGCTAGCTGCTAGTGCTAGGCATCAAGTCTGTATGCTCCTTGCAATGAAAGTAGTTGCGATGTTATGTACAAGTCCGAAGATCCTTGAATTTTTTTATTGCTTTTTTGGATGAATTGGCTGGACCATCCTGGACGAAAAGTGGTACGACCATGGTCGTAGTGGTCGTACCGTGTGTGACGCCCCTGAAGATGTTCCCGTGGTAATGTGCATGCATCCTGCAGAATAAGCGCTGTGGTTTAAGACCATTCTTAAAATTATTGCCAGTGTGACTGAAACTGTTCCACAGAACAGGGCATACATGATAGCTGAGCATGTGTTTCCCCTTGCACTTCTGCACGTAGATCTTTAGCATCCAAGACAAAGCCGAGTTTGAGAAGGAAGCAAACTTCTGGAGCGGAATGTTCCCTGTTCTTGGACTTGTATCAGGCCTGACAATGTTCCTCAATGTAAGTATTCCCGTAAATGTTAATGTAAACAAAGTTATGAGTGGGTGTGACTATTGGGTATCAGATGAGAGTGAGGTCCTGTGTTACCGTATTATCTCTAATATAAGCACAGTCTCCAATAATAGCACGTCTCCAATAATAGAACACCTTGGGGCGGCATTCAAAAAATAAAGTGCTCAGTCTCCATTATAAGCACACTGTGTAAATTCATTATCTGTACCGGCGAAAAAACCCTGAAATGTGTATGTCTGACATGAATTTGGCATGGCAACAAGCCTCTGAAATGAGGTTGAAATAATAATGGAACAGTCTCCAATAAAGGAACGTCTCCATTAACCCTTTACCTTCTGACCATAATTCCTAGGCAGTTCCAAATGCGATATTTCTCACCTCATTCTGAGAATATCTTTGGTTCTAATCAACCAATTTTCACAATCGTGGGCATTCTGGAAAGCTCTCCACGAGCTGCGTAGAATGAGTTCAAACTGGACACTACTGAGATCACATATCCAACGCCAGGGTGCTTCAAACACTCCCCATCGCTGGATATCCGAGAAAATTCTCTCCTCGTCAGCCATTTCTCACTCCTTCATCGTAAACATTTCAAATTTGTTTGCCTGAGTTTCTTTTTATGCTGCCCACGCGCTCAAAACATGCCCAGGAGACTCAGCATGTCAGGAGAGGGAAAATCCCCAGCTCAAGGCCAGTCACTCAGAAAAAAATTGACTTTTGCCGTGGCTGAAATGTCGAGTGCGATATCTTTGGAATGCGACATCGCAGCTCTCCGCTGATTGTTGCAATGAAAAGCTGGGTTCTTCGGCTTCTTCATACATACTTAGTTTTTGAGATTCCGTCAAGAATTGATCGAGTTACGAATGTTTTAGTGCATGCATGTCCATCGACCAAATTCGGTCGATTCATGTACACACAGAAGGTAAAGGGTTAATAGCACGGGGCGGAGGTACATTGAAAAAATAAAGGACCGTGCTTCTATTTGAGATGATACGGTAATTTAATTTTAATTGGCCTTTTTGTAGCAGCTGTGTGCAGTGGCGCCTCTCAATTGCGGACGCTCCGTCTTGGTTACCAAGCATACCTGTGCTAAAAGGTGTGTGTGGGGGGGGGGGAGCAGGGGCGGATCCAGGGGGGTCGGGGGGTTCGAACGAACCCCCTGATTTTTTCGACCATAGTTCAGGTGCGACCACTAACCCATGCTATGGCCCAGTCGGCCCAGGCCGGAGCGGTCCGCTAGCTATCAGCTTGGTTGTACTAGTATATTGTTGTCTTGTACGTAGATCTACGACTGTGGTAGATACAAAGTAAAGTAGATCCGCACTGAATATACAGCTACATAGACCTACAGGTACGCGTTCGCTTCGGAGAAAGAGGTGCACTTGTTGAGCTGCTACGGAAACTTCGAAAGTAAGTTTCGAATACTAGTTCGAATGGTGCGGTGCCGTCGCGGCTCGTGCTTTTTGAGCTGTCTTAGAGTTCGTTCAAGCGTCTAAAAGAGGCAGGCTCAGTACAAGCTGCCCTTGAATTTTGGTGACACTCCAAAGGAAAGTGTAGCCACTAGTGTCGAAGGTGAAACAAAGAGCGAAACTTTGAAAATCACGTTCAAGTTCAACCTCCCATCATCCAATAATAACACTTTCCCCGAACTGGGGACAATGAATCAATGACTAAGACGCGGAAGATGCAGGAAGCCTACCTCATGGAACCTACTCTACATAGCAGTATATTGGAATCAACATTGGGTGGCTCGGAGTACAATATGACGGATAATTATTATAGACGAGCTGCTGGAGAAAAGTACCAATCAGCTATTCTGCGGCGAATGAAAATTTTTCCTTGTGGCGCGCGTCTTCAATAACGTCACGCAAACGTGCACTTTTATGTAAATTGTATGTCATCATTTCGTCAGTGTGAGTAGGGTGGGAAAAAATTGAACCCCCCCCCCCCTTGGAAAAATCCTGGATCCGCCCCTGGGGAGGGGTGTGCTTAGTAAAGAGTGCATCACAGCTAGATTGGTTATTGATTAGGACTGAGAAATGGAAGCCCAGGATTGTGAAAATCGACCTAGAAATGATGGAGTTATTCAACTTATTGTCATTGTATCTATATCCTTGTATCCTAAGTGGACGTATCACGTGATAGGATTAGTGTATTTTGTGCACCCGCACATGTTGTCCAGGCGTCCAGCCTCCCTGCCCATCCGACCCGCCACACACAACAACGAAACTGAACTAACGTTTTACATACTGATTATTCGACAAGACGGAGACGGACAAACAAGAAGACCGGACACGACGAGGTAAACTGGAAACTGAAGAAAAAGACAAACATCATGCCAGCATATAAGCATGCGCGCAAACGAAACATAACGCATGACAATGACGTAACCGTTCCATGGTGCATGCACAAACTGCATGTGCAACCAAAACAGTCCAACTGAGTCAAAAGGAGAACGCAAAACAAACAAAATAAACCAAAGGACCACAACAAAAATGAGCCATGAAAAGTCTTTCTTTCCAATAAAACCGATACGCAACAATGTATCTTCTACTGTGTTCTTATTGTGCTGCTTGGCCAGGTCTTCTTCTTTACTGTTGCTGGTGAAGGCCTGACCAAGCGCATGCGCCGCAAGGTCTTCCGTTGCTTCTTGCACAAGGTGGGTTGGCAGTTTCTTCTGAATGAGCATCGTGTCGTGAATGTTGGTTGGCATTTCCATCGGCAGAACAGGTCACTCACATCAAATCGGATTTCTTTCAGAGTTATAGTTGTGTATGTGTGTGGGGATGGGGGGGGGGGGGGGGGGAGGGGGAGGAGAGGGAAGCTGAAGTGAAATGAAAGTGAACTAGTAACACATAGATGTTGCATGTCATGGAGATCATGTTGGGTTCATGCCCAAGAACTACACTGTGCCGGTGTATCGGTAAGAAGCCAGCAAAGGTGCTTAGTGCTCCATACCAGCTTTACCGTCCCAATACCAGTTCTGATGCGCACGTGTCGTATGGCCGGGTCTTTAGTGCTCTTCTTCTCTCCTGTGTCGTTCACTACAGAACATGGACTTCTTTGATGATCCCAAGAATTCCACAGGATCTCTGTCCGTCCGACTGTCTCGTGATGCAGCTCTCATGCAGCAGGTGAGTGTACTGACCAACGTGTAGTACTGGCTTGTTTCCAATCTGGTCAGTATCTTCGCCTGTAACAGCAGCTTTTCCTGTTCCAATCATGCCATGATGACTCTTCACGTGACATGCAGTCCTGGACTCCTGGTGTGCTATGTGCATGTGCCGGAGAGTTGGGGTCTGGGACGGGCAGGGGTGGCAAGTGGGGTCTGGAGGGGGGCAGGGGTGGCATGGGGGGGGGGGGGGAGGAATGCCATCAGTTTTGGCTGTTGTGTCCAAAGCGGAAAGATGCTGATCCTGTTAGCTACCAATGCGTGATGACGGTTTCTGTACTTGTAGAGTTTTAAGAACAAACCATGGAACCCGGTTGTTCTGTATAGGGCTGTTCAAGATTTTTAAAACGTTCATTGTTTTCTCTGTTTCCATCTTCAGGCGGGTGGTAAAACAATGGGCCAGGCACTTGCGGCTTTAACCACACTGGTGGCGGCACTGGTCATCAGCTTCACAGCCAATGTCTATCTAACGCTGGTTATCATGGGCCTGGTGCCTGTCATTGCTGTGGCAGGATACCTGCAGATGAAGACACTTGCCGGCCACGAGCACAGCAACAAGGATCGCCTCCAGGATGCTGGCAAGGTGAGGAATGTCGCTCCACACTGAAGTAGTCACGTTAGCAGTCGTGATGGTGATAGCATTGCCTCCTACAAATGCACGTGCGCGCGCACGCACACACACACACACTCTGCATTTTACAATGCATGTCAATGTTTGTAGGTGGTAATATGACGGGTAGTGATCAAGTGGATGATTTTCTAGTGACTTGTTGACTTCCAATTGGGTCAGTTGCTATGATACGTGTTGATCTATCTGCCCGCGTAATTTACTCATATTTGCCACCTTGTTGCTGCCTCTTGCAATTATCCAATATTCATTGTCACCAATGAATGTTTTTTGTATGCCGCTTTTGTTTGTGTGATGACAATGTATAGATTGCTGTGGAAACCATTGAGAACATTCGGACCGTCGTTGCATTTGGCCTGGAGAAGCGACGCTTTGAAGCCTACATGGTGTCCCTGGACTCGGTACATACGTAAGTTCTGGTTTCCCTCCAAGTGTGCATAGTGTGCTGTTCCCAGTGTCTTGCTGTGATTGTTCCCGGCACATGCAAGTGCGATGATTGAGTGGTGCTGCAATTGTTGTTACCCATGGTGCCATTCTCTCGGTGCATGTTTGTACTTGTAGTGAGGATGTCGTTATTGCTGATGCAAACCGGCTTGACTTGAACGTATATTTTGCGTTGCATGTTTGCACCTGTGGTAAGGATATTGTTTTTGCTGGTGCAAACTTGACTTGAGAGTATATTTTTGTGTAGTGTAATCTAGCCATGTTGGTTGCCCTGACGATTTTCTTGGACTGGATTCCCAACTAATGCTTGTCCTCTTCTTGTTGAAAATGTGCCATAACGTTACTTCCCATGCAGCAAGGAGAAGCGTGAAGCGCATACGTATGGCTTAATGACTGGCTTTGGCGTGGCTACTATATTCACTATCTATGCTGTGTCATTCCGCTTTGGTGGATACCTGATTGCGCACCAGGGCGTGGCGTACGGAGATGTTTTCAAGTGAGTAGGTGATGTTGAGTTAGCAGTGCATCCAATGTACATGTATTGGTATTCATCGTAAGATCTTTCTTGAACATACGAACATACCTGGCTCGACACAAGTACATTGTAGTACATTGTAGTTGCCATTAACTGGAGGCTCTGACGGTGCTTATTCCCGGTGTTCTTGTACTCCCGTTGCAGGGTATTCTCGGCTCTAGTCTTCAGTGCTATGTCACTCGGACAGGGAACAGCGTTTGCTGGTGAAGCTGGCAAGGGTGGACCGGCAGCTGCACGCATCTACTCCCTACTGGATGGAGCCTCTGGCTTCTACGAGACAACGGAAGATCTGGAAAAGCCGGTAAGGCATTGCATCCTGTCTGTTTTTGGTGTAGTGTCCGCATAAGCCAACAGAGAGTAGTTTGTGAGTGTTGTGTTCACTACTAACACCTCAAAAGTTTCAGGATCGCACAGACGCCACAAGACAAAAGGTCACGTAATTCTTTACGGACTATAATGAATGAACAGTAGAATACATTGAGAAGAAGAGACTGGAAAAATACGAACTACATCGGAAAGAGAACTCTAGAACACTAAAGAAAACAAACCACAGCATCAAGGAAAAGAACAACGCATGAGGGGTAAAACGCTGGCCAGCCACAACGTGCGTCCAACTTTGGCATGAGCGTACAGAAGAGCGTACAGCGCTCGGAAAGCGGAAGCTAAATTTGGCGGCAAAGCGACAGCAATAGTACGGCGCACGGCACATAAGCAGTACGAGGCGAGGCACGTATACGCGTGTGCGGCAAACATTACACACCATGTACCATATATGCATGAACAGCGCGGGGCGCATACTAACTCATTCAACATCAGTGCGCGGCGCAGGCATCTAGCTAGCTGGCGCAAGCATGATCATAATTGCATGCCATCACGCAATCAGCGCACATAAATCGCGCATCAAATAAATAAGTAATCAAACACAAATCAACACATCAACTAAATAAATCAACGAGCTAGCAAGAACACAATTCAAAAATGCAACGAAGAAATAATTACTATTCTAGTCGGTTATTCGCATGGGACCAAGCGCAATGTCCAAGCTGATGAACTGTGATTGCACAAGGTAAGCCCAAGCTCCTGAGCTAACCGTTCTGGTGTGCAGTCTTCTTCGTGCTGCAAACACACACTACACAATGTGTCGTATCTCGTAACAAGTACTGTACCAAATCACAACGAACACTAACAATACGCAATAGTAAACAATAATCAAAAACACTACGCAAAAAAGCAAAGCAAGCAGCACCTAGCCAGGGAGACAAGCAGGAGTCACGGTCGCAACGAGATCTCGACGACACCCCAGAAGACCTTTCTCCGACACGATACACAACATTCTCCCCACCAAAGGGCTTCAACCACACTGATCACAAATCAAGACGAGGTGGTGGTCGAACGGTACGACGAGATCGACGCGTAACTTGCGGCTCAACGGTCGTCGAAGGTATTTCAACATCATCGACGACGTTGACTGGATCAGCGCTCACGGGTGTCTGCGGCTGCGGCTCAGCGTCCACAGCAGGCGGCTCAACATGCTCCTTCGCTACTTCCAACGGAACCAAGCGTTGAATGGGCCGTAGCATGGACGATTGGCCAACTTGGACTTTGGCCACCCTGCACTTGCCATCTCTTCCAGGATACAGCTCTGCGACCCTACCCAAGCGCCATGATTGCCGCTTCCGGTTGTCGTCGGCAATAAACACAACGTCGTTCACGACAATCGGAGTTGACTTCGACCGATGATACTCACTGAGACGAATGAGATACTCAGACGACCAACGCTGGTTGAGGTGCTCGTAGACGGTGTGGACATACTTGACTCGAGCGGACAACTGCCGTGGATCGAGTGGTCTGTCAGACGAGGCAATACCGGTTGCAAAGATGTCTCCCAACATCATGGCTGGAGTCAGCGGCGACTCGTCAGCTACATCCGTAGAAACCGGAGTGAGGGGTCGAGAGTTGACGACTCTCTCGATCTCCGTCAAGACAGTGAACAGCTCGTCTCGACTCAATGACGCTCGACCGAGAACCTTCTTCAAGGGAGCTTTCACACATGCCACCAGACGCTCATAGAACCCTCCATGCCACGGGGCAGATGGCGGATTGAAGAACCACGGGATTGCCACCTTGTCTGCGGCGGACTTGAACGTCGTAGCATTATCTGAACGTATACGCAGCGGCTTCCCACGACGGGCGATGAAACGACGCAATGCTAGCAGGAACACCTCTGTCGACAGGCTATCCACGAGCTCTAGGTGCACTGCGCGAGTAGTACCGCACACGAAGAGTGCGACCCACACTTTCTGAACATTTGATGAGCTGCGCACGTACAACGGACCGGCATAATCAATACCTGTGAGACCGAATGGCTGGTGGTGCTTCACCCTGTCTGAGGGCAACGGCGGCATCTCCTCAGCAGCAGTCTGTGCGCGAAATCTGCGGCAAACAATGCACTTCTCCGACACGCTACGAAGAAACCGACGAGCTCCGAGAATCCAGAACTGCTGTTGTAGAAACGCAAGCACGCTCTCTACACCCTGGTGCATTCGCTGAAGGTGAGCATCACGCAGAAACAACTCACTTAGATGACATCTGCCCAGGATGATCGGATGCTGAACCTCGTAGGACAGATCGCTCTCCTGCAGACGACCACGAACTCTGAGCAAACCAGCTTCATCCAGAAACGGAGACAACTTGAACAGCTTCGAACCCTTCTTCAGTGGCTCCTTGCTCCGCAACTGGGACAACTCCTTGGGGAAGCATTGCTCTTGGATGGCGCGAAACATCACAGACTCAGCAGATGGAATCAATTCTGCACGCGAAACACCCTTGTGTCGCCATGACAGCATACTTGCGACCAAACCGCGAGCTCGCTGCCACTTGGAGAACTTCTCCCACGGCCAAACAACTGGAGTGTCAACCTCCACAGCCGACACGCGTGCTTCGGTGACGGACTCATTGGTGCTCTGAAACGAGATGACTGGTGGCCACTGAGACTCATCGCTCAACCATGACGGACCATGCAGCCACATCTCCTTCTGCAAGTCACACACTGGGACACCACGCGAGACAAGATCTGCAGGGTTGCTAACTCCTGGACAGTGACGCCATTCTACTTGCAGCTTCTGCGAAACTTCTTGCACTGCAGCAACTCGATTAGCAACATACGTCTTCCAGTGATACGACGGCTTTGAGATCCAGTGCCATGTGGTTAGGCTGTCTGTCCACCCCACAATCCTTTCAATTGGCACTCTCAATTCATTGACGACAAAGGACAACATCTTCACGCCAAGACACACAGCCGACAATTCCAGACGCGCAAGAGTGGGACGTACAACAGGTGCAACCTTCGCCTTCGCACACAACAAAGAAGACGTCAAACCGGACACAACATAGAAACAACAGCCATAGCCCTTCTCGGATGCATCTGAGAATACATGCAAAGTGACTGGAGCATCTGGAGTACACCCGATCCATCTGGGGATTTTAATGGAAGAAAGCGCTGCGAGCTCTCCCCACCATGAAGCACATCGGACAGCCAAATCAATAGGGAATGGGTCATCCCAACCACCGCCGAGCTTCCAACTCTCTTGCAACATCATCTTGCCTGGCACCACTGCGGGTGACGCCCAACCTAGCGGATCGAACACAGCGGCAACACAACGCAACAAAGCACGACGAGACCAACCAGACACTTCCTTGGGACACTCAACATCACCGAGCGCAGCCACCGAAATACAATCTGACTCGGTGTTCCACACAATACCCAGTGCCTTGGAACCAGCCTCGGGGTCTGAGGTCATCGTGTTCCCTCGCCACTTCCGCAACTCCATGCCTGCTCCCTGCAAAACATTAACGCTATACTCCTGCAGCTTTTCAGCATCCGCACAGCATGGCAAGCTAGAAACGCAATCATCAACATAAAAACTACGCAGCAGCAGCTCTATGATATCACGCTCAGCAGCAGAAGCAGACTCGAATGCACTATCGAGATGAAAGCGCAGCACAGCACTAAGTATGAAAGGAGAACAATTCACTCCAAAAGGCAGCTTCTTTAAACGCCAGATACACATTTCTTCGCTACCTATCTCAGGCCAAACAAAACGCAGATATGGCCTATCTTCTTCACGCATTCCGATCATAAAAAAAGCCTTGCGAATATCGGCTTGTACAGCACATTCATACTCACGGAACCTGAGGAGGATACCAGTGAGATCCGGTAGGAGCGATGGCCCGGGATCGACCATGTCGTTTAGGGATGGTGCTCCGGTGCAGGCGGCGGATGCATTGAAGACGACCCGTGTCTTCGTCGTTGAGGCGTCGCTACGGAATACGGCATGATGCGGCATGTAATAGCCGGCTTCCTCCGGATGCGGTTCCTTTTCAATGGCATCCAGCTTCAAGTACTCAGTGATAAGGACGTCATCATACGCTGGACGTTGACCTCGTCTCTGTAGCTGCTTCAGCAGTGAGTGTGCCGCTGCCATCGCTTGGTTTAGGTTGGCTGGCGGACGCTTCTCAGATCGCCATAGCAATCCCACTTGGTAATGAGGGCCTTGCCGCTCTATCGGGAAGTCCGGTAACGTCTCAGCTATTTCCGGCACCTCTTCCATCTTCCACAGTCGGTCAAGTTCAATACAACTCACACTGACGGTCGCTGACTTGGTTTCACTATTAGCCGGTCCTGACAGCACCCAGCCTATTTCAGTGTGCCAGGCCGTCTCTCCATTGATTTGCTCCTTGCGGAGAAGGAACTCATTGCAGTAGTCAGCTCCAATCAGCATGTGCACTTCGCTTGATCCGGCCTTTGTCGAGTCATCAGACAGCTGCAATCCCTGTGACTGCCAACGTGCAATTGTGCTGTCTGCTAGCGGATCGAATCGGAGACCTAGCGACTTCTTTTGCCAGGCATTGACGGAAATGGACTTCGTTGCACCCTTGATGGTGACACGGTACCTGTCCATCTTTTCAAACTTCGGCTCCACGTCAAACGCCTTCAGCCTGACAGTTTGCGATCCAAGGTGTGCCGGTTGCAGCGAGTTCACCAGTGGCGCGGTGATGAACGATGCCTGCGCACCTGGGTCGATGAATATGCGTACACTGGCCTTTCGGCTAGGTCCTTGTACCTCAGCCACGCCGGTCATCAAGTGCACGCTGTTTGCACTACATTCATACGTACCGACTTTCGATTCGGCTATCGGTTCGGATGTTACCTGTTTGTCCTCTCTGTGCAGTAGACTGTGGTGTCGCTTGTTGCAGTGCTTGCAACGACCCTTGTTCTGACAATTCATCACTCGATGTCCTGGTCTCAGGCAGTTGAAACACAGTCCCTCTGCCTTGACGTACGCGTTTCGGTGCTCAGACGCCATAGCTGACAATTTCTTGTTAGCCTCATCAACGCTGACCGTCAAACACTCTGCCGACGCAAACGGTATACGTTTGTCGCTGGTGCTAGACTTGGCAGGCTTCAGCTTGCTACGTCCGTGGGCTGTTTGGTAAGCCATACCATCCTCCGCAAACGCCTTCAAGTCCTTCGTGTAACATCTCTTCTCGATCAAGAAGGCCTTAGTTTCTGCCGACACAGCTTCTAGCAGGACTTGACGTACGACACATCCGAACAATTCAGTGTCGTCCAGCTCACCGATTTGTCCGCGGCTAGAGGTACGGCTAGGCCTGGCGAGTTTTGCCCACTTCTCCGTCTCGCGCGTCACTCGTACCACAAACTGGTAGAAACTCTCATCACTTTTCTGCTGTATGGCCATCAGGGCTTGCCACGCTTTGTCGGCGGTCTTCCCATGCGCCATCAGCAGCTCGCGCTTCGCTTCGGCAAAGGTGTTGCAGCCATAGCATGCACCTTCCAACCTGCTGCCAGCAACAGCCACGCGCAAGCGGATCAGGTACTCGTCGTCGCTGAACTCATTTTGCTTTGCCACATCCTCGAACAGTTCGAGATAGGTCTCAACAGTCTGCTTACCGTCGAACTTCGGCATCTTGATGGCAGCCCTCTTGCTCGCTAAACTGCCATTCGTCGTATTCAACAAAGTGCTCTCATCACTCTGAGTCTCTCGTGTGTGCTGGACTTGCAACTCCAAATCTGCAATCCTCGCAAGCAGCTGCTCGTCATCTTTCCTTTCCAATCTACTTCCTGCTCGTTCGTCGCGCTCTCTTTCTGCACGCACTTTCTCCTCGTGCTTCTCGATACGCTCCTCTACGTAAGTACGCAATGCCTCTCCAGTGTAGCCATAAGCTTGACCATTTGCGATCAGCTTCGCTTCTACCTCATCCATGTTCACGCGTCTCGATCCTGGCGTGGTCGCCAAAATGTTGTGTTCACTACTAACACCTCAAAAGTTTCAGGATCGCACAGACGCCACAAGACAAAAGGTCACGTAATTCTTTACGGACTATAATGAATGAACAGTAGAATACATTGAGAAGAAGAGACTGGAAAAATACGAACTACATCGGAAAGAGAACTCTAGAACACTAAAGAAAACAAACCACAGCATCAAGGAAAAGAACAACGCATGAGGGGTAAAACGCTGGCCAGCCACAACGTGCGTCCAACTTTGGCATGAGCGTACAGAAGAGCGTACAGCGCTCGGAAAGCGGAAGCTAAATTTGGCGGCAAAGCGACAGCAATAGTACGGCGCACGGCACATAAGCAGTACGAGGCGAGGCACGTATACGCGTGTGCGGCAAACATTACACACCATGTACCATATATGCATGAACAGCGCGGGGCGCATACTAACTCATTCAACATCAGTGCGCGGCGCAGGCATCTAGCTAGCTGGCGCAAGCATGATCATAATTGCATGCCATCACGCAATCAGCGCACATAAATCGCGCATCAAATAAATAAGTAATCAAACACAAATCAACACATCAACTAAATAAATCAACGAGCTAGCAAGAACACAATTCAAAAATGCAACGAAGAAATAATTACTATTCTAGTCGGTTATTCGCATGGGACCAAGCGCAATGTCCAAGCTGATGAACTGTGATTGCACAAGGTAAGCCCAAGCTCCTGAGCTAACCGTTCTGGTGTGCAGTCTTCTTCGTGCTGCAAACACACACTACACAATGTGTCGTATCTCGTAACAAGTACTGTACCAAATCACAACGAACACTAACAATACGCAATAGTAAACAATAATCAAAAACACTACGCAAAAAAGCAAAGCAAGCAGCACCTAGCCAGGGAGACAAGCAGGAGTCACGGTCGCAACGAGATCTCGACGACACCCCAGAAGACCTTTCTCCGACACGATACACAACAGTGAGAGCAGGGTGTGGGTGTGTGTGCACGTGTGCATGTGTACTTGCGTGTGTGCGTGTGTGCGTGTGTGTGTGTGTGTGTGTGTGCGTGCGTGCGTTCACATGCATGTGTGCGCACATATGCATGTACATGTATGTGTGCTTGTGAAATTCTGGTGCACCCAGCTCCATTTTCCTCTCAGTCACAAGCCCATTGCGAGATCTACAGATGTATATTGAACATACTGCTGGTGATGTGTGTACGGGCACGGGAATTGTTGAGCCCTAAGTCTGTCTTGCTTGTCTAACTGTTTGTTTGCCTGTGCAGGATCATGCCAGCGGTACAATTGAACTGGAGGACGTGGACTTCACCTACCCGTCGCGTCCAGAGAAGCAGGTCCTCAACAAGCTGAGCCTGTCGGCCAAGGAAGGCGAGACGGTGGCCTTGGTCGGCACGTCCGGCTGTGGCAAGAGCACCAGTGTGTCGCTGCTGGAGCGCTTCTACGATGTGCAGTCCGGCATAGTGGTAAGGAAAGCGTCTGTGCCGGTGCATGCACATGTGTATGAAATACTGACTGTGGGATCACAGTGTCGTAAAACCGACGCTTAGCCGGGCGAGCAGTGCAAAGCGCGATGAACAGATGCGTTGGATAGTTCTTACATAATATTATGTCTTTCTTCCCGTCGTGCTGTGCTATTCTTGCCTAAAGTGGTGACTAATGTTACCATTTTCTTGTTATTGTGCGTACCTGCGTGCTTCTTGCAGAAAGTGTCTGGTTATGACGTGACGCGGGTGAACGTGCGTTGGCTAAGACAGCAGATGGGCATCGTGCAACAAGAGCCGGTGCTGTTCGACTCCAGTATCGCCGACAACATTGCTTACGGCGCTCTGTTCAAGGACATTGTCACTCAGGGTGAAATCGAAGAGGCGGCGCGCAAGGCGAACATCCACACTTTCATTGTCTCCCTTCCGCAGGTGTGTTATGTGTTGGCACTGTGCTGCTATAGCCGTTATTCCCGAACTGGCTATGTAAAAGACGGTACGATTGGTAGTGTCTGGTGCTAGCCAGGGTCCACAGTGCTTAGTTTCGTATGTTTGTGTGGATGTGTGTGTGTGGGGAGGGGGGGGGGGGGGCACGGACCACGTGACTAGTTTTGACAGGCCTGACGCGCTGTCCCGTACATGTCCCATACCGTACCGTCATAGCAGCTATAACTCTTCTGCTGTCGGGGGCAGCTATGGCATGGATGGGTTAAAAATAAAACCAAAAACGACATGTTCGCTTTAATACAGTCAATGATGCATGCGTTTGTGTCTCGGTGCACAAGTGCTAGCTAGCAGTCCGGTAGTGTACTGTAATCTTGCCCACTCGTGATTGCACGGCTCGCTGTCCGGGCTAATGCTCAATTGACGAATCTAGTGTATGGGTATACTATCAAGTCTACGGGACTTTGACATTGATGGCACTGTTTTGTCTTTATTTTGAAACTGTCCACCTTTCCACACTGCGCTCTTGGCCAGCATTCATAATACCATAGCGAGGAAGTTCGTTCTTGGATGGATGCTCCAGTGTGGAGTGTGGAGAGATGGGCAGTTTCAAATTATTGTCAAATGGCCGAGTTCGTCGCAGTTTCTGAGTTATTTTGTCTTTGTAACAAAATTAATACCGACTGACCGCGCATGCTTACTGTGTTGTTCTCACACGTGATTCGTTAACTTTGCAGGGATATGAGACCAACGTAGGTCCGAAGGGTACGCAGCTCTCTGGTGGACAGAAGCAGCGGGTTGCCATTGCTCGTGCTCTCATTCGCAATCCCAGGATCCTTCTCCTGGATGAGGCGACCAGTGCCCTGGACACGGAGAGTGAAAAGGTCAGCACTTGTCTTATGTATTCAGTATGGGTGCATGGTATAATTAAATACTGCTGCCAGGCTCCGTCTGGACCGTGACTGTATAGTTTAGTATTATGTTAGTTTGCTCGGCCTACATGTGCCGCCGGGTAAGAGTATTGGGGCAGGACCGAACCTGCTACCATCTTGTAATGTCTGTTAAGAATGTGGCCGGTACCGGGAGGCCCTTCCAGAGGGCTTCGTTCTGTACATTTGAACATTTGTGTCGGAAACTCCTGCAGCCCTGCTGCATACAGTTGCATGCACCTTAGCTATGGGCAACATTCCGATTGCTAGTATTAACATGTTGAGCATCGAGGCGATTCACCATGCTCACCGGCCCAGGAACGCCTGAACTGTGCGAAACGGCCCATGGGCTAGGCGTGATGCCTGAACATTCTGTACTACAGTGGTGGCTGGGAATGGTGGCAAGTAACTTTTATCCAGGCGCTAATCTAGAGTCTTTTTGATTCCTTTAACCTAGAATAAGATCCTTGTGGGCTGCATGTTTGACTGGAATTTCATCCTCCACATGTTACACTCCATTTGACACACTCTTGTTGTCCCGGTAACAGGTTGTGCAGACGGCGTTGGATGAAGCTCGCATTGGCCGCACCTGCGTTACTATAGCACATCGCCTGTCGACAATTCAGAACGCCGACTGCATCTATGTGCTAGGGAATGGAGAAGTCCTGGAGTCTGGATCGCACGCCCAGCTCATGGAGAAGGAAGACGGTGCGTACTACAACCTGAACAAGGCGCAGATCACCACCAGAAAGATCAACTAAGCTTGAGAGAAGGCGAGCGTGTGTCCACGTCACACTGGACTGGATGTGCTGGATGTGCTGCCCCGGCAAGCTGTACAAGTTACTCCACAGTGTTACATTGCTTTTTGTGTGCTTCAAATGGCAACTGTTCATCAGTTGCTATGTACGTGTTAGGCGAGTGCCACCTGCAGTGATTCGGTTCTCTATAAAGAATATTATCGTGTGAATTTTTCATGGTAAACACATTATACACACAATATTTTTAATTTTTTTACGTCGAACGCAACCCTTCTTGTGAATTATCGGAAGGGGGGGGGGGGGTGGAGTAGCAGGAGAGAGCTCCTCGCGTATCTCTCGGATCCCCATGACTAGCAGCCACAGTCATTTTACGGTTCCTCGCACCGTGTCGCATATTACATCTGTACCCGCACCGGCTGTGAATGCTGGCATTCCTTTTATCTCTCTTTTTAGACGGCCTTTCTTCTTGACTTGCACTCGATACTTGCACTCGGGGAGTGTGAAAGCTGCCCGCCGGCACGTGTCTGTTTGCCGTTTGTGCTTGAGCAGTGTAGGATCGGCCATGCCGCATGATTTTACATTGTGCATGTATGTAGTGCTTGATGCATTGATCATACTGCACTACTATAGCAATTTACAGGCCTGAGGCTTCTATACGAGATCAACCAAATTATGTTACACGTACTGTGGGCGAAAAGTATAAGAATTACGTTTTTCATCTTTTGTTTTTAAGAGCCATTTCTCCATGCGCATTCATGTTTTTTTTTCATTTCTATGCGTGATCAAATAATTATATCTAATTCTACTTGTAGATGATTGAGCTCAATGTCCCGGCAATCATCATTGTGCTTTGTGAGCATTTTGGCGGCGAGATATGGCAAGACGCCATTCTCAGTGTGTACAGTCATGTAGCGTATGGTGCAGGCCCTCAGTGGCGGCTGCGGACTTGCTATTGTGTCCGGGAACCCTGGCGGAGGGCCGCTCTGACTCTGAGTACTAGTAGCTGACCTCGGCTCCACTGCCATCAGTACACACTATGCACACATGCCGCGCTGCCGGGCCTGTGGAAAGGGTGAAGATAGTGACAGTGAAATAGCTTGTGTGTATGTGCTACAGGCCCGCTTATTCCAACGCAATTCCTGTGATATCTTCTCAAAAAGAATTTTGTAATCCCCCCCCCCCCATGCCCCTCCCCTATTTTCGGGTTGCAATGATAACTTTTCATGTGACTACGGCCATGGCCGGGGTACGGATGGTAGCAAGGAGTATACCCCCCCCCCCCCCCACACACACACACCATGGTCCATGTACTATGTGAACGCCTGTTGCAAGCCGGCAGAGAAGCATGCAAGTCTGCAAATGCACTGGCATAATGTGCACCCACAGTCCACCCACAGATTTCTCTGAGTCGTATACCATGACACTACAGTTGTTGTTGTTGTTGTTGTTGTTGTTGTTGTTGTTGTTGTTGTTGTTGTTGCTGTTGCTGTTGCGGCTGCTGTTGCTGTCAGTGCTGTTGCTGTTGCTGCTGTTGCTGTTGCTGCTGTTGCTGTTGCTGCTGCTGTTGTTGCTGTTGCTGTTGCTGTTGCTGCTGCTGTTGTTGTTGTTGCTGTTGCTGTTGTTGCTGTTGCTGTTGCTGCTGCTGTTGTTGCTGTTGCTGTTGCTGCTGCTGTTGTTGCTGTTGCTGCTGCTGCTGTTGCTGTTGCTGTTGCTGTTGTTGTCACAGTGTTGTTGTTGTTGTTGTTGTTGTTTGTTTATTTACAGTCTCAGTACAGTTCATACCTGTACTTTGATAGTAACGATAGCGGACAAGACAACCCCCCCCCCCCCCCCACACACACACACATACACAGCCACTCCCAGGTCCCAGGTCGGGTTATGTACTCTTGGCAACTCGTAGTCTTGGTGGTGTAGCAAGCAGCGGGGGGGGGGGAATAAACACCCGGTACCACCATGTACTACTGGCAAGCTACAGTACAGGCACTCTTGATGATCTCTTTGAAGCTCTTCGGCAGTTTGGGAGTCTTCATCAGACTTCAAAAGTTCAAATACAATGTACAGTGCGTATCGGATATAGTGTGGTCGTATACAAGAATATACTGCCTACAAGAATGAACACTCATTTTTTCATAATCATAACGCATACTTTATGTGTATATTTATTCTTACAAGCAGTTTTATCGCATAGTACATGTAGAATATATCGGCCCTAAGAATGGACTTTGTGTAGCAAATTATGCCAGATTAGTGCAAAGTGTATCCCCTGTAGTAACAAGAGTTCATGGGGGTTATGAACTCTTGGTAGTGATAACATCCATGACATCTGTGCTCTGTGCGTACTCAATACAATAATATTCAACACAAAGAGAGAGTTATGTCCAAGGGAGCATTGGAGAATCACTTTTTCTGTCCAGTCGGACTCTTTCTTCCGACTTCTCTCGTATCTGCTGCTCCGCAGTGGCCTAGCACGACGCGACGGCGAGTCTGATTGATCCGTGTGTATCATGTGTACGTGTCCACATGCCAAACGTGCGCGCATATGATAATGTCACACGTGCATACTGTATGACACCCTACATGTATGTCACACGTGAGTTATCGTGTGTAAGAAATATCGGCAATATTAAAGAATCAAATGTCGTTTTTCAAACCCCAGGGGTTATGTACTCTTGCTATAACCGATACCTACTGTAATTGATTACCGCAAGAGTGCATTATTCCCGTAGCTATGCAGAAGACGTTTAGTTACTTCAGTAGACGTCTGCCGTCTGGCGCTAGCCAGGGTCCACACAGCTTTAATTATTTTGGTGTTTGTTTGTTTGTGTCACGCCTGGAGCTATCCCGTATCTGTGACTACAAAGGCTCTACAGGATTGTACATAACAGCTGGCCACAATATTCGCTGGCTCCCGTATCTGTCCCGTACTGTAGTAGTATTATTATTATTATTTTATTTATTAGTAGTAGTAGTAGTAGTAGTAGTCACATCCTTTATTGCTGAACCCACAAATAATTGTGATACAAATTGTAAACCATACGAGGAAGAAGAGAAAGCCATTAAAAATAAAAAATAAAACAAAAAAGGTTATTGTACCATGCCAAACGGCTATTATCAAGTCATGTACCAATTGTAATACATGACGTAGTATAGTAGTCAAGCACCTACAAAATACTTTGCAGGATAATATTTAAATTGCCTAGCATGCCTACAAATCCGCAGAGCATGCCAATGTTAAATAGGCCAACATATGAATACCGAAGGCGGTTACATGGACAGAAGGCGACATTGGTCGAGAAAAGATGGGCCTATTCTCTTCCTCAAGTAAGACGCTCTGCAACCACGGAGGCACGTGATTGACCACCTCAGCAAAACAAATGCAATTTTGCAGCGTAGCTGTGCCATCACAACAGCGTACTGGAGGTCACTATGCCACAGTAGTACTAGTAGTAGTAGTAGTAGTAGTACTCGTAGTACTTCGCTTCAACTGGCTGCCGGTCCGGCTACCATCACTGTGTGCGTGTGGGCAGCAGTTCACTGTGTCTCACTCCCTCTCGTGTCCGACGGGTGGATTTCCGTCCATTCGTCACAACGAGGTGAGGGACCTCACTGCTCGTCTGCTCAGGCGGGTGGCCCATCAGGTGGCAGTTGAGCCACACCTCCAGCCACTCTCCGGAGAGCAACTCCGTTACCGCACTGCTATTGCTGACGACCAGGCACGCCTAGACGTCGTGGCTAGTGGCATTTGGGGAGGACGGTTCGAACGCACCTACATTGATGTACGGGTATTCAACCCCCATGCGTCTTCGAACCGCTCCAACTCACTTGCTGCTACCTATGTCCGTCATGAAAAGGCTAAGCGTCGTGCGTATGAGCAGCGCCTGAGGGAGGTGGAGCATTCCAGCTTTGTCCCCGCCATCTTCTCTACCACCGGAGGCATGGGAAAGCATGGTGCTTCGCTCTACAAACGCATCGCCTCTCTCCTCGCTGCCAAGACTGGGGAGCCATACAGCATCACCCTAGCTGCCATCCGCTGCCAGATTGGCTTTGCACTGGTCCGTTCAGCGCTGATGTGCTTGCGTGGTGCACGCAAGGCATTCTTACCAGCAATGGCCTCAGACTCGGCAGCGCTTGTTGTTGCTGAAGCAAGAATCTCAGCTTGAGGCTTACATTATTATTATTATCTGTCAAGTGTCATTAATGACATTGTACATGATCATCACCGCGTGCACTCGATCTAATCATTGATTGTCTTTATTCTATGTTTTGCCCGTACAAGAGGCATGGTTTGAAACTCGTAGTACTACTGTAGTAGTAGTACCGTACTGGCAATATATGTTGCCGCGTAACGCGTAACGCAGGGGGGTGCGGCGTAACGCGCGACCAGGCTAGTGCGACAAATTTTCGTTGAGTTCGTAACGCGCGTCCGGCGGGGTGCGGCGATCTTTTCATTGCAGTTTGCACTGCACAAGAAAAAATGATGCGGCAAATTCAAAAGCAAAAAAATGATGCGGCAATAGCAAAAAAGTGATGCGGCAATAGCAAAAAAAGGGCTGCGGCAATATAGAAACCTGTGTAACGGCTCCTGTGCGACTTTGCATGTAACGCCCTAGCCCTGCGTGCGGCAAACATGTGCCAATGTAACGCTTCATGGCCTCACTGCGGCAACATATATTGCCAGTACGGTATAATTTATTATTTTGATAGGGAAGGCCCTACAGACGTTGCCGTCTACCATCAAACACAGCTGGCCACAGTATTCGTCGTATTATCAAGAGTGCATAAACATGTTTATGGACTCTTGGTACTATTATGTATACGACTCCCTGATGTAGAGGGAGACTTAGAAAGAAATAGGGAGACGAGGAGGAAATGAAATTAGAATAGACGCCAAATAGGTGATAAAATGCGTCAGCAAAAACATACACAGGAAACGTCGGAAGAGAGATCCCGTCGACTCCAGAACGCCCGTGATCGGCAGTGTCAGCGCCGGTCACGGGAAACGTCAGGACAGACATCCCGTCGACTCCAGAACGCCCGTGATCGGCACTCGGCAGATCAGAGTCAGCGCCGGTCCCAGGAAAACGTCAGGGCAGACATCCCGTCGAGTCCAGAACGCCCGTGATCGGCAGAGTCAGCGCCAGTCCCGTAGCTATGCAGAAGACGTTATAACGTTACTTCAGTAACACTGAAACGTTTTTGCAATACAACGATGTAGCTAATCAAAGGAAAAAAAAACATATCCATTATAATCCAACAACAATGTTACATGCACGATGAGCTAGCTAGGCAACAAAAATAGCGTAGGGCCTGAGCTTCCAAGCTCTCTCGTTTATTATGGACTCTTCTTCCTAGATCCTACATGTATACAGCACACGTACACGTATCTCTTACACGTAGTCTACAGGAGAACGTGTGTTCGTGTGTTGGATCATGGACTGGATCGATCATGCATCCATAAACCGGTCATGACATAATGTATGCACACAATGTATATGTATGCACAGTCTAGTCTGTGCGAGTACAGACAGTACACATGGTACAAGTGGACGTGTGGCGCTGAAACTTGACTTTCTCAGCGCCATGCATGTGGCTTGAGATTTCGAACGATTTCAATGAGTGTGCGGGGAAGCTAGTAGAAGATCCAGAGCGCGTGATTTTTTCACCAACTGTTGTTGTCCCGAAACTGGAAAAACTACTCAACAAGAAGTAAGTTAGATTTTTCTACTCAGTGATCAGGGCTTTCCTTACCTCTAGATTTCTTCGTATCAGTAGAAGCCGGCTCGGGCGAAGTTAGTATTAGTATTTCTAGAATTGAGTGGGAGTTGGAAGAGTCGATATTTTTTGACGTCTTCCGTAGTCCTTTTTCCTTGGTGGAATCTGGAATCAGCTGCGTCCCAACATCGTCATCACCGTTCTAGCTTCTCATGCCCCGCCGTCAGTGCGCGACGCTGCAATACAGTGTTTACATCGAGAGTTCGTTGCTGACATTGTGATAGATTCACATTGGGCAAGAGGTGAGAAGTCGTATTATATTATGTGCAGTACCTGTGCGGCTGGGCTAGGATGCACCAATAATCAATATGCAACATGAGCAAACCACCTGGGAGATACATGTACTCCGTTTTTGCCACAACTACAATAATATTAATTATTATTTGTTTTAAAAGTCATGGAGATCTTACAACTCGTGTTCCAAAAAAACCCAAGAGAATAATAATATTATGTTTATATATATAATAGAGATATACCGTAAAGTACCGTTGATCCGCCCCCTCTCTAATTCCCGCCCCCTGTCGATTTTGTACCTGTGAAGCGACTTTGGCGTATACGACGAAAATACGATGTTGAACCGACGCATGCACTGCTGTACACAATATTTGCCAATCCAGGATGAAAATGTGCACAATCCAGCACATCGAGTCTGAACTTCTACGTTGTTGTACATCGTACTGCACTTGACAGCCTTGATCTAATTCCCGCCCCCTGCCGAAACCCAGCTGGGAAGTGACATGGCGTGGGGGGGGGGGGGGGGGGGGCGGATCAACGGTACTTTACGGTACTGCATTTTTCCGGGGTCTAAGCAGCAGCACCCCCCCCCTCCTTCAGGACCGGCGGAAGCAGGCTTTTGATTGGTTCGAATTCGGCCATACCATAGTCATCCATACTTCCAGGCGGTTACACATGACCTCGTCGGCAGTAAACATGCGGTGGTAGCCAAACAGCTGGTCCGGCCATGGCCTGACCAACCAGACCGGTTCGGCCGCCCTTGTCCTTTCCCCAGTCTTCTTGGAGGCAAGTCTCACAGCAGTTTTTTTTGTTGTGTTTTGTGAGCGGGTCAGGTAGAAATCACATGTTCTCCCCCAAATGGGCGAAGGGGAGTTATCTCTTGAAAACCCTGCCTATGATATTGAAAAACACAGTGAACACGAAGAAACGGATGAAAATCCTTGAAAAGTTGAAATGAAAACCCGTTCAACGAGGCCCTTTACTAGCAAGCCTTAAGCGGGATTCACAGAAGCTTTTTTGCGATGCGACACGCGATGCGACTGCCGCGAAACCGGAAAATCCCCAAATCGCAGCCATTTCGCACCCCACGCAACTGCCGCAACTGGGCCATTGCAGAAGTTGAGCTTGGCTCAACTTTTGCGATGCGACAAGCGATTTGGCGTACGATTTTGACCTTTTCTACAGCAAAGTTGTACAAAGGTTCAAGATGTAACTCGGATGGTGAGCCAATTAAATAATTGTGGAAAGAAGAAGGACAAAATGTTACGAGTTATGTTGACTAACTGTCCACCAACGTAACCAGATCTTATACAGTCAGCGAGTGCGACAAAATGGCACAAAACTGACAAGACTGACAAAACTGATAAGTTTCGGTTTACATAATGGCACAAAACTGACAAGACTGACAAAACTGATAAGTTTCGGTTTGTCACAATTCGTCTTCGCTTAGCTTCCCCTTTCTATGTTTATTACATGAACTTGAGCCTCCCAAGTTGGGTGGTCTGTTGCTTTGCGTCGTCGAGTTGTAGTAAGGCCGGTATGTCCAATAGTCTTACTGGTTTCGTCATCATCCACTAACTTTCGGCATTCTTTGTTGCCGTGATGCGTAGCTCGTGCTCTTCTTCGTTGCGCTTTCCTTCCCCTCTTGGACCTTTCCGAACCTGAGCCTTCCAAGTTGGAAGGTTGTTGGTTTGCGCCTTGGAGAAGTGTTGGAGCTAGGTGTCAGGTCGCCAAATGTCTCAGTACTCCTTGTCAGTTTTGTGCCATTTTGTCGCACTCGCTGACTGTATAAGATCTGGTTACGTTGGTGGACAGTTAGTCAACATAACTCGTAACATTTTGTCCTTCTTTTCACAAATGTTCAAGAGTTGCCTATAAATTTGTACAAGTACCAAACCGCGCGAATATCATGGTGACGTACCCAAATCAGCAAGACGTCGCATCGCTGACTTCTTCTGTGAATGGTATTTCGCGAGTTCGCATCGCACGCGTCCATTGCAGATCCCGTCACATCGCAAAAAAGCTTCTGTGAATCCCGCTTTACTCCTGCAAAGAGTACACTGTAGTAATATTACCACTTGGCCACCAAGTAACGACCTTTCTTCACTTCGGGATTCGACTGGGGCTCGCTCGGCTCACTTGGACTGTCACTGCCAACTGACCCCTCTGAGCTGGCGACTGTCAAGGCACCCTGGTCAAGACCTTCAGCACGCAGCGCCACGATAATTAATGGCAACTATTTCAGCCTGCGCACGTGGACCCAAAACTTTGCAGCCCTTTTTCTCGAAAGTTGAAATGTGGAGCAACATGTGATTTCTACCCGACCCACTCACATTTGTTTGTACAGTGCGATTTTTAAGACGAGACCAAAAAATAATTTTTCTTTGACGGTTCATGTCCATGTGCAGTACTGTTGTCTAATGATGTGTGTAGATTATGATAATATGACACTTTGACGGGGAGTCAAGCAAATCTAGGCTTGTACAACTCCCTGATGTTCGACTCGTACTCGTAGAGCTAGAACCTACACGTATATGTAGGCCTTCAGTTCCTTGCTACTGCCAACTGAGCACGAAGCGCACTACGAATGCGAGTGATGCACTAGCACTGGTGCTGTTTGCATGCACGGACGTAGCCAGAGGATCTACGCTGCAGGGCCGTCATTGGCGGAAATACAAAAGTTGTATCGGTAAACCGCGCACCGTATTTAGAAATTTCCGGGAATCTCAATTTTATTTTGGTGTGGCCTGAAGGGAATGTTCGCGCTAAAAGCCACAGGTCGGATTTCTGGCCTATTTCTTGAGAATAAGAAGAAGTTTGCCCCGGAAAAACAGTTGAGGTCTTCCCTTGAAGATTACACTCTGATTGTTTTAAAATACGAGCATACCTGAAGCAGCAACTAGGAGAATCATGGTGTCAATAATCTCAAAATCTTGCCACATAAGTAAGGAAATGGCACAGTGCCGTTCCCGTGCACGATCTAGTGGTTGAAACGAATGGATGCATCCAGCACAGAAGATTCAAGAACGGCTGATAGCTGAAAAAGTGGCAGAGAGCCTGAAAGCATGCACTCACAATTCGCAATCTCCCGTACCAGCCCACCAGTTTTTGCAAGGACTGGCACTGTCACTTAATTTTGAGTGCGCAAACTCCAGCTGCGTCCCAAAGCTAGTTTCGGACCATGTACAGTAAAATCGTGGTTTTTATTTTCCTCATTTAATGTGCGGATGAAGTTACAAAATGTAAGGCCATCCGTTTTTATTTCTATGTTTCTCGTCACCAGAATATATAAAAATCGTATACGTATGCGAGTGGAAAAAATAAAAAATAACCGAAAAATTAAAAAAAAGTTTACATGACCTTTGGTCATACTAAAGGTGCGTTCTTAAATCCTCTCGGAAAAGTTGGAGACTCTCCGAAAAGTTCAAGAGCTGTTCTTATATCCTCTCCGACTTTTAGGAGGCTCTCCAAAGCTCTCCAAGCTTCAGAGGTGGTTGAAACTTGGAGATTCCCGCGGTTTGGATCAGCGCATGCGAACTACAGCTAAAAGCCACGTGTTGATCATGAGTGTACGCATTTCCCTTTTCGCATACGCACATGTGTATACTAAATTCATAACTCAAGATCGCGGCCCCTTTGGCGCTTCATATTGCCTGACGTGTGCAAAATATCTCCGAATTCTTCGAGACCCGTTCTTGAATTATACCAGTTTCTTCGACTTCTCTTTTCTTCTTCTCCTAGAAGCTAGAGAATATAAGAACGCACGTGCACGCACCCGCATCAAACGCATCGACCAATACAATAAAATATATAAAAATTAACTGAAAAATAAAAAAAAGTTTACATGACCTTTGGTCATACTAAAATCGATCAATACACCGTGTAAAAGCATCCAAAGTAACTTTAATAGTTAGCAACTAGTCGACCTACATGTACGTGGTAGGAGCTTCTGTGCACGTGCACGTGCAGCTAGATCAAGTAACAAAAACTGCCGACCTCGCATGATCATGATTATGACTGTCGTGCAGGCCAGGCCAGGGTGCACATGTGCATGTGCTGGTCCCCACAGTGCAGCACAGTTTTTAAGTTTTTTTTCCAGACTCCTGAACTGTATGCGCGTGGGTGACGAGAAACATCGAAATAAAAACGTGTGGCCTAATAGGTCTAATGAAGGCAGCACGTCACGTGGCTCGCCCATAGAAAATGAATCACAGGTGCATACTTCGGACTCTCTGTGATACGTATGCCAGTAGTAAATGTGTTATTTGTGTTAGCCGGAATGAACTTTTGAGTATCGCTGGTGGAACGCACACACCAGGCGAAGTGGCGGAAACTATACGCCTGTCCGGACAATGATCTCTAAGCTGCGAAGCTGTGAAGCTGCCATTTCGTCAGGTGTGTGTGTTTACCACCACTACTGTTCTAATGCTGCAGTGGAGTCTTCAACATCATTCCTCTCTACTACAACCAGAAGAAGAGGATGACCATTTCATTCCAACTCCGAGTTTCATGCGCAAGGCAATCATCAGACAACAGCAATGAGATAAATCTGGATGCTAGTTTTTAATTTTCTTATCCCACACAAGCGGAAAAACCGTCAGAGATCAAATTCCATTACACAGTGTTTCACCGTTCAAGCAACGAATCATCAGATAGAATCAAACAAAGTATGATACACTGGTTATATACTCAGAAGGTGTGAACTCCGTCACTATGGAGTGTGAAGATTATCATTATGTCGGGTCCCGGATGTGACAAGTCCATTTTTCATGATGCATTGTACAGAGTGCCTAGGTGCTAGATGAGGGTGATGATATTGCGGGGTGTGACCAGCCCATTCTTCATGATGCATTGCACAGAGTGCCTAGGGAAAGGTGATAGCGCAGAGTGGTGCCATGCCAGGTAACAGATATAGAGGCGCTACCAAGGCCATAGAATAATCACTGTCCTTATGTGATGGGCACAAAATTTGATAGGACATACTTGCTTTCGTGCCTGCATTTTGACACAATCTCATTTCGCTTGTTTAGCCTAGTGCGGGCGTCGGTTTCGAGGATGTGATACTTCTCGGTAGTGCAGAGGCCGCATCTCTTGTAAGTTGGACGTGTTATCGAACGAGGTGGCCCTGTCGCGGATCTTCCAGTCAATGACGTACTGTCTGTTGTCCCGCTTCATCGACCAAACATGCTTTGACAACTCGGTGGAATTCTCATAGCGGTCATGCCTGAGTGTAGTCAAATGGTTGGAGTAGCGAGCTTTGAAAGGCGGCGCAGACATGCCGGTATAGACCTTGGCGTTACGGGTGTCGTCCGACACCATGGCCTGGTAGATGACGTTGTCCGCCTGGCACTTTCCTTCGAGTGGACACGAGTTCTTGATCCTGCAGTTGCAGTCCTTGTCCGGTGTTGGTGGGTGCAACACTCTCTTGTTGTGGGCCTTAATGAGTCGGGCCATATTCGGCATGCAGCTATATGCGATCTTCACAGTGTTCCTGTTGAATAATTTGTGCATCTTGCTGCCCTTAGGGAAATGCTTTCGGATGAGGCTCAGGAACCGTGCACCGATGCCTGTGGCCACACTCGCACTATATGGCGGGTTGAACCAGATAACCCTGCGGTCACGATTTCTCTTCTTGGGACGACTGCCCGCTGCCGGTGGCGGTTGGTCTTCATCAGGGAACGACAGTTCACTTGCGTGACCGCTTGCGCGTAGGGCATCGGCATAAAGCGGCCGCGCTTGCTCGAAGACCTCCTTGGTGCATGAGATTGATACGAGCCGCTTGTTGACGCCAACAGGTATGCTCTTGATCACGCTAGGCGGGTGGTTGGACTTTGTGTTGACATATAGTGGCGTGTCGTTAGGCTTCCTGTAGGGCTTGTAGATGCCGGTTGTGATGTTCATGGTAATGTCGAGGAAGTTCACGGCTTCCATGTTGGTATCTATTGTTATTCTCAGGTTGTTATTCTCAGGCCGAGCTTCCTGAATTCCAACATGAAAGCCGTGAACTTCCTCGACATTACCATGAACATCGCAACCGGCAATATCATCACCCCGCAATATCATCACCCTCATCTAGCACCTAGGCACTCTGTACAATGCATCATGAAAAATGGACTTGTCACATCCGGGACCCGACATAATGATAATCTTCACACTCCATAGTGACGGAGTTCACACCTTCTGAGTATATAACCAGTGTATCATACTTTGTTTGATTCTATCTGATGATTCGTTGCTTGAACGGTGAAACACTGTGTATTTGATCTCTGACTGTTTTTCCGCTTGTGTGTGATGAAGCTCTGCCTCGCTTGCGTTGAGCACTCTCCGCAGTTTGAGACCATTCCCTTGTGTAATTTTCTTATCCCCACAAAGTAAAGGTGTGAATCGCAGCAGTGCATTACATCATAGCTTGAATAGCATCCAGATTTATCTCGTTTTAGTTGTCTGATGATCGTCTCGTGCGTGAAACTCGGAGTTAAAACGAAATCTTCATTCTCTTCTTGTTGTAAGTAGCTCTGCCCTGTGGCATCGACCACTCTACTGGACAGCCTAGAACCTTTCTGTATTTCTTCTCCATGACGTGTAGTTTGTGCTTTCTCTGGACTTTGGTGATTCCTGTCTATTGTTATAGTGCCATGGCTCAACCTACCACAACAATGTCCGTGGCTCAACCTACGGCACCGATGAGTATATCTACTGCAGCTATGGATACATCTACTGGCCTTGTAGCTACACCCGCCACAGCTATGGATACATCTACTGCCCTTGTAGCTACACCCGCCACAGCTATGGATACATCTACTGCCCTTGTAGCTGCATCCACAACAGCTATGGATACATCGCCTGCACCTATGGATACAGCGACTGCACCTATGGCTATATCCGCCGCATCCATTGCTCTACCTACTGCACCCATGGTTATATCCACCACACCTAGTGCTCCACTTACCGCGCCTTTGGCTATTCCTACCGCACCTTTAGCTATTCCTACTGCACCTTTGGCTATTTCTGCCGAACCTTTGGCTGTTTCTATCGCACCTTTGGCTGTTTCTACCGCACCTTTGGCTATTTCTGCCGAACCTTTGGCTATGCCTACCACGCCCGTAGCTCCATCCACCTTAGCTATGACTCTAACACCTGTGCCACCATGCACACCCATGAATATGCCAGGCACACCTAACAGCCGCACGCATGTCAACTTTGCAGACATAAGGAACTATCTGGAGAATAAGGCAGTTCCCAGCACCATCAAGAACAACGGCGAGCGATCCAATTTCCGAAAGGCATGTGTTAACTTCTCCGTGAAGGACGGCAATCTCTACTACCAGAAAAATGATCGAGAAGACTCCAAGGTAGGCTGAGAACGTTTTGTGTGTTGTTTGCTGGCTCAGAATGGCATGACCCTTTGGTTTTTGGCATGTTCGGGGATGCAATGCGGTCATGAAAAGTGGTACAGCACAAGGGAGGCAAGAAGAAAGGGGGTATCGCTGACGGGAGGGAGTTACCGTAATACTGATATTAAAGAAGAGAGGTCTGAAGTGGAAACCCTGTGGGACTCCAGCATGTAGCAGACGACAGGTCCGATACTGTTGTCCTATACGCACTTTAATTTGTCGATTACTAATTTACTAATGAATGATTGGACCCAATAAATCGTATCCAGAGAGCACCAGTTTGATATTGAGTCAATCAGTGTAGAATGGTCAACACGATCAAACGCTTAAGAGAAATCTAAAAACAAGCCATCGCAGAATCATCTTTTGTCGAGAGTGGTGGCTTCAGACGCAGTCAGTTCAACTAATTGATCCGTGGTGTAGCGATGTCTCCGCAACCCAAACTGGTTGTCTGTAATAACGTCTTGTTTTTCAACAAACCGATAAAATTGCGTGCTGATGAGACTTTCACATAACTTGCCAACTCCGTGTAGCAACGATACTGGGCGATAGCTGTTGGGATCTGCTTTGTCGCCTTTGCCTTCAAGCAAGGGGATGACTGGCGTTCCTGACCGTCATTGATGGGTCGCCGTACACGAAGCCATGAATCCGTTCACAAGCCCAAACCACGAGGGGACATTCCTTTTCGATTTGGGCACCTTGCTGCTCAGCCGGCGTCAATGATTGGGATGCATACGCAACTGGGCGGAAAACTGCCTTCGTGGTTCTGTAGCAAAACAGTGCTGAGACCATAACTACTGGCATCTGCACTGGTGACTGTTGGCCATCTCGCATCAAATAACGCCTGGAAGGGAGTGTCGGTTGCAAGCTGTTTCAGCCGATCCAGGGCCGCTTGTTGCGTTGCAGACTATTCTCAGACTGCGCCGTTGGTCAGAAGAAGACGGAGTGGAACACTGACTTCTGACAGATTCGGGATGAACCATGACTTGAAGTTGAACATACCAAGAAGCGGTCGCAACTCTGCGACATTCTTGGGTGGCTTGAGGTCGGTGACAGCAGACGCTCTCTGTGGATCCGGCCACAGACGATGTGGCCCAGAAACTTCACTTCCCTCTTCCTGAAGTGACACTTGGGCCCCTTGGCGGTTACGTTCGCTTTCTTGAGTATGTCGAAAACAGCCTCTAGTTACTAATTACGGATCTAGATCCACTACAGAGACTATCTGATTCTGTCTACACTTGTGTTTTCAGCTGAGGGCTGCGGCTGATAACGCTGTGGGCCAAAAGGGGCGCTATGATGAGGAGAACTATTGTGGAGAAGAGAATTGCAGATGGGCTGAATCTTGATGCGCAGCAACTAAGAGATCAAGACGTGATCTACATGAAGATCGGCAATTTGAAGGCCAGATGGGGATCAGTACGAGTAATATCTGAAGAAAACTGCCACTGGCTCTCCTGTTGGCAGTGTTGCAGAGAAAAATTTGATGTTACTCCAGGATTGTCACCGAACCAAAAAACGGTTGAAGGACATCGACACGTCCATATCCTACTGTAGCCACATGGACCACTGTTACGTGCCTAGCATGACACTGCATTCCTGCGTGAATGCACACTCGCCGCGAGTGGCTTGTGTGACGCAGTAGTGACAGTACACACGAGTGTCTGTAATATGTGTGAATGCACATTCGATGTAGCCTTGAAGGGGAAGTTTACCCTATAAAATGTAAAATATAACCAAGACCATTGACTTTTAGTTTTAGCTGTCTGCCTTATGCCATTGTTAGCAGCAGCAGCCGCCACCGCCGCTGGTGAAGTTGCTGCTGATGCCGTTATTGACTTATTGTATTGCAAACTTGTTTTGTTTTGTTTAGCTGCTTGTTTTCTTTCTATTGCTTGGTGTATTGGTGTGCAGAGGCTTGTGCTGTGGACCAGAGGTGAATCACAGGCAGCAATCAAAGAAGCACACGAGGGCATCCCTGAAGGAACTTCTGGAGGCAAAACCCGCACCCACAATGGTATCCGCGTCACAACCATGTTGATTGCTAAGCGCTACTACTGGAGAACCGTCACTGATGATGTCCTAACCTATGTCAAGGCGTGCATGGTTTGTCAAAAGTACGCCGCCAAGGCTGCGAGCACTCCGAAGAAGGCGAAGAAAGAGGAGACCATGGTGCTCTTGCTGTCTCCTGTCGGATCTCCCGGGCCCGTCAGCCAAAGCTTGCATTCACCAGCGTAAGTGTCTGTACTCTGTACTACTAGCCACTGTGGCCTAAAGTAACTTACCGTTGATCCACCCCATCTCTAATGTTCACTCCCTGCTGATGTTCTACCTACGAAGTGAGTTCAGTGTATGCGTACTGTCCACCCCTTGCCGAAAATCAGCTGGGAAACGACGCGGCGTGAGGGGGGGGGGGGGGGGTTCAACGGTACTTTATGGTAGTGGTAGAATTTTTAATTTCTGCACTAGCGAAATCTTTTCACTGCCTTCAGCAATGGTATCCGAAGTGGAGGTAGTGCTTCTTGCCAGGAGCCATGTCCTGACCCCCAGTTGTGTTTTTTAACGATCTGACCGTAGTGCCAACTAGAACAGTGTATTGAGCAGCTTGCATGGAAACTAGGCAACACTGTATGTTCAGTAGGCATATGCCATACTTGCACCGTATGCACCTACTCGAGGTATCCGTCGTGGGACTGTTGTTGGTGAGGTTTTGTCTTCACATTCACCCGGACACCGTCCCTGCGCGCAGGGCAGGAACAGAACCATTGTCAGACCGTGGTACTGTAGTGTGGAAGGGTGCAAACTGCACCCACCAGCTCTGTGTGAAACAAATGTACTTGTATGCATGTATTCGCGGTGTCTACTGCATACCACTGACGGCTCTCCACTCAATCTTCTTAGGATTCCTCTCTATGAAGGCAAACTCTCATCCTTGAGACATAGTTTACAGTCTCAAAGCTTTTAGCCCAGTAAGACTACATTGATAGAGTTTCTGTGGGACCAGAGCCTGTCTAGCCATGCGGGACGTTGTACGTCTTTTCAACCTAGGGTGGACTTGAATTCACTCTCAGGGACCGAGTAACTCGGGTGAAAAGTGCTCCTCCTGGGACGGTAGGGAGGTTTAGTCCTATGTAATCCGTGTGTACTTTACGTATGTGTACGTGATACTCAGTGACCCACGTACAGCTGTTTTCTGATTCACGACATACGGTGTATGGGGGCTCCGGCCGAACGTGGGTGAAAATCAGAATGGAGCGCATTGTGCAAGCCGTGAGGGTGCTCAGTTGAAGAAGTTTCCGAAGCACGAAATCAAAATATTCGATGAGCCTCGAAGCTTCATCTTTGACCCAGTTTGGGCCTTTCGCTTCATGCTTTTGTTCCGTGTGACTAAAAACAACATTGCAAACGTGGGTCCATTGCAGGAACTTACGTGTATCACCCACGTTCCCGTATCCGTTACGTGCGACTAAACCTCCTACTATCGTCAACGTGCGTGTGTGACTATGTTGTCGATGCTGCCAATTTGACTGACAACTCAATATCAACCAGCACTAGCTCACAGCTCCTAACTGGCTCCTATGCTCCAATAGTTTCTGAGTAACGTGTGTGTACACTCGTCTCCATCGGCACTCTCTGAGTATCTCTGTGTTCAGTACAATGTATGTTCCTGACTGAATTTAATGGTTTGTGTGTTCCTGAACAGTGTGCATGCCGGCAAAGCCGGGGGCTTGGCGACCGGTGAGTGCAGGGAGGAAAACTTGGCTGATTGAGTCTTCCAGCGGTGCCAGGAGGTCCGCGATGGCTGGCGTTTGTCCTGGCAAGGAATGACCACTTGTGGCGGAGACCATGAGTTAGAACAGCATAGTCCGCCTGAGGATAAGAGGCCGCGTATTGAGCCGGGGTCTGCAGCTCTGTGCCCCTTATCTCAACCTTCTGTGACACATAACCCACGTAGAACTGGGCAGAGCCTACGTGTTTGTAGGCCAGCACCAAGATGCCGATCGCCGTCAGCCCCGATGTTCACCCGAGTGGTTGCAAACAGTTCTGTTGCTTGGGCATGATGTTGCGGCTTCATAAGGAGCACTGACTTGGACGGGTCGATATCGTAACCATACTTGGTGCCTCGATCAACCTAGTTGGACCATCAGGTGCACATTCGGCGGAGAGAGCCGGCTGAAGTTGCGTCATTCAGTGGCATACCATCACTGTATGGCTGTATGGCTCCGGGTGTGGCGGCTTCCCGGATCAGTGGCCCTGTCCCAAGCGCATAGATGGACATAGCCAAGGGGTCTCCTTGAGTGGTGCTCTCAGATGACAGGATCACCTCTCCTCCAACAAATTAATGATAGCTGGCGCTAGCTCAGGGCATAGCCACTGAACATAAAAAAATTCCGCAAAACTCAACAGGCCTCTTTTACGGGCAAAAATACGTAGTGTGGAACAAAACCTATAGTATAGATAAAGTGCGGACCTCAATAGGAAAAAAGAAAGAAAAAAGAAAGGAATATGTGGACATGAGGGTCGCGCGCAAAGAGTTATAGGGGGCACATGTGAGCAGGAAAGAACTACACTCGTACAACGACGGCCTCAGCATTGACGAGAGAGGCAGGGCAGTCCACCGTTGCACGCGAGGGGAAGAGGGAGCGACTTCCACGGATGCACATGACGCTAGCACGCACAAGGGCAAAGCTAAGGTGGCAGCGGATAAGGGCCATGGTTGTCGAGTATGGCTCGCACGTCTTCTCCGCCAGCAGCGATGCGATGCGCTTGTAGAGCGACGAGGCGCACTTGCTCATGCCACCCGTAGTGGAAAACACTGCAGGCACGAACGATGCATGCTCCACCTCACGGAGTCGCTGTTCGTAGGACCGCTTCTTAGCCTTCTCGTGACAGACGTAGGTGGCCGGGAGGGAGGAGGACTGGTTTGAAGGCGCATAAGGGTTGAAGACCTGCTTGTCCGGCGTCAAAGATGCTCACAAGATAACAGAGAGGGCACGGGTAGCATCACGGGAGCGGGATCGTACCTCTCTTTTGGCAGCCCACAGAGCATACGGAGCTCCACCATTCCACCAAGCTCGAACCTCTGAGTCACGATGTTACGCTGCAGGGATTGGGTGACGTGGCCGGACCCGTTGTACTGGTCGGACAGCTCCGCAGGATTAACCATACCGAGACCACCGTGGCGGCAGGGGAGAGACAACACACTGCGATCCTCGCTGTTGATTGTTTGCCCGGTGATAGCAGGGATGAGCGTGTCCGCAATGACCTTCTCCAGCGGCTCCATGGCTATGGCTGTGGTCGGCATAGTGCGGCAGATGAAGGCCCACTTTCCATTCAGCCCTTGGGTGAAAGCAGAGTAGGCAGCGTGAGGCTGAGACATGGCAATGTTGGAGAGGCGGTTCACTTGCCCAGTCCAAGACTGCACCTTGTCACTTAGGAAGTGCTCTGCGAACTGAGGTGAGCCGATCGCGGCACCAAGATACCGGCATCCTTCTGTGCGGATTTTAACTCCTGTGCCGGCGAACAACTCTTCCGCCCGGTCCAGGTAGGCTGGTGTGACCAGGAGAATAGACTTGGCTGGGTTCAGATTGTAGCCGTAGGAAGGACCTTTCTCGGTAAGGCCTCCCCACCACCTTCGCAGCGGCATCAGCTTTCCACCGGCTCCTGCATCGTCGGCAAACCACTCCTGAATGGCACCCGGTGTAGCAACAGGCTTAAGCAGTGGTAGAACACCCAGGGCATACATTGGCATTGCAATGGGGTCGCCCTGGGTGGTCCCTTCACGGGAGAGAATGGTTTCCCCACCGACGAAGAGATGTGCGGGTTGGCGGTACGTGTTGATGACCGCTGAACATAATCATTGCACCGGCAAACCACTCTGTTTAGGCGATTGAACGCGTTTGTTGCATCTGGAAACAGGGCTCCCTCCGTATGGTCCTCATCGAAGGTGGTCTTCACTGCATGAATGGTGGCTTCCACGCGCACTCTTGCCCACCACGTAACTGCGGACAACCATGTTCTGTAGTGTGTTCTTCTTTTGGAGATGAAAAAACGAAAGTAACTTTCATGGATTGGCATGCTAGCGTCGCGTCGCCAGATACATCATGCACGTGACAGGCGCGTGCATATACTGTATACAGTACCACACAATCGATCAGTGCGCAAATCGCATTTTCCCATCAATATCACTCACTTTCAACTCTACGGGATTCATTACGGTTGGCTCAAACTGCCTGAATTTTTGAATCCACACGCACGATCGAAAGACGTTCCAAGACTTCCACCGTTCGTATTTTTTCAAACGAGTTCCGGGTTTTCCAGTAACTTTGGCCAAAGTTCGGCTAAAAAAAACAGGGGGGGCCGTTGCGTTTCCGTAAAATATTGAACGGTAGAAGGATAGCCGGGGTCGAGAGCAAAACAACAAGCCATTATTTGTCAAAATCGAACAAGAAACGGCTCAGCGCATCTATTTTCCTTGCACGCGCGCGTACTTTGGCCGACAAGGTGTGCAGAATTTCTGAAGAAGAATAAGAATAACAAGAGCAGCAGCGCTCGGAACAGCATCTCCAAAAGAAGAACACAGTACAGAACATGGTTATGACGTTATCATAAGGGCCTGTCCACACTAGTTAATAAAAACGGCGTGCCGTTTCAGAGTACGTGACGTACACGCGGTGCGCTGTCCACACTTCGCTCTGTTACCATAGTCTGTAGACATGACCAAAAAGAAACAAAGAAAAATGATGGCACCTATGTACAGGGGATGGCCCACGCCTGGTATAAAGTAAACGTAAAAGAGAAAAAAGAAAAAGAAGAAGGAAAAGAAAAGATAAGAAAGAAAGAGAGGTAAGCAACTCCATGTACATCAACCGTACTTGTGTCATACGCTTACAATGAACACTCAGCAGCCGCCTGAACAGCCGAGTGAACAGGAAGTGGCACTGAACAGCGCCGGTAGCCGCGCAGACTAGCAACCATGGCTCTCACTAGGCTGAAGGACAGTTTGGTCCGGACGAAAGCCATGGTGACGGAAAAAGGCTCGTTGCGCTTGTCGCTCAGTTTGCTGGCAATCCTGGCAAACAGCGCAGATGAGGCCTTTCCCTGTCCACCAGTGGTGGAGAAGACAATGGGCACAAAGGAGGAGTGCTCTACCTCCAGAACTCGCCGCTCATATTTCCTCCGCTTCTCCTGCTCGTGCTTTCTGTAGACAGACGGGAGTGTACGGTTTCGATTT